CATGTTCGTTCGTCTCTGCGAGACCCCATCAAAAAAAAAAAAAAAAAACTACCTTTCGTAATTTGTGTCCCTGGCCAAGTGGAATTTTTAAATTTTGTTAAAATACTAAATAAATAAATAAATATTTTTATACCGCCAAGCAACGTTTTGTTTCCTTTTGTTTTTGAGGTCTTTAACCTATCAACCGCCCAGCCGCCCACCCACTCACAAATCGTTTGCTATAGTCGCCTCTTATATATGTTCCACTTGTGCGGCTTCTGCTGCAAGCTCTTGAGCTGCACAGCTTATTGGATTTGCGTCCAGTCTTGAGTCGACGCTCGTGGACAGCGCATCAGCATTCAATATATAGACGACGATATAGTCAGGATGTTGGTGAAAGGCTTGGGCTACGGCTATTGCCTGGCCTATGTGCTGGCTCTTGTTAGCTGGCCGGGCAGTGCCTATCCCACCAATAGCTATCGGGATCTGGACATATGCAATCACTGGAATGGCAGGCGACACTTCCTGGAGCTGGGCGAGCGAGGCGAGCTGCACGCGCGGAATGTGAGCAATACGGCTTACCGAGTGAGTGCTGGCAGGTTGATAGTTGTCCTAGCTCTATCTATAGAGACCCTACTCCGTCTACTCCCCATATAGAGCTCACCTCTGAGCCTCAAGAGTGACTTGACTGCCGTGGACGTGTGGTATCAGTGCAATCTGGAGCTGGTCACCTGTGCCGAGTGTGTGATTCGGGTTACCTTCACCCATGCCAACTTCTCCAAGAGCTGCAGCAACACGAATACCAATATGTGTCCTTGCGAGCACATTCAATTCTCGGAGCCGCCCTACGACACCACCATCTCCGGGCAGGAGTTCTGTGGCGATGGCAAGGTTTTTCGCAGCAAAACGAGAACGCTGCAGCTCAAGTTCTTCTACAGAGCCACCAATGCCCACGTGTTCTCCCTGCAGTACTTCTCAGAGCGTGAGTCAAACTCTCCCCTCCCCCGTCTAGGGTCTCCCTTTTACAGCTGTGAAACTCGCTTTAGGCAATGTAAAGATTGTCAGTGGCTCACCCAAGCAGTCCATTGTGGGCAACGGCAATGCCAAGTACTTGCCACAGGTCATCTCGACGCCCTATTTTCCCATGGCCTATCCGCGCGACTATGGCATCGAGCACATACTCACCTGCGAGGCGGACAATTGCCAGGTGCGTCTGGACTTTACGGACTTTCAGCTGGGTCTCGCCTCGACGCTGGAAATCTTTGACTCGAATGGCCAAATGCTGGACTCCTACACGGGCGAGCACTTTCGTCCGCCGATTACAGTGAGCAGCGGAAAGTCCTTGCTGCTGCAGTTTCGTGGCAATTCCGCATCGGGCGTGGGCTTTCGCGCCGAGGTCAGCTTTGTCTCCTCCAAGCAGCTTAAGGACGAGCGTCTTGTGCCCTACACTGGTGAGTGAGTGCAGCTATTTGAGGGTCTACAATTGGTTTATTGATTGAAAACCAGCTGAGGGGCAGTGGGTGGGGGCTTGGGTGGCTGTTGTATAAATTTCAATGCCAAGGCGCAGACTAAAGTGGAACTAGGCGATGCTTTAACACGGTCTAGTTTGGTAATGCAATCGATATTGCTGGTGTAAGTGTGCTTACGGCATGGCGTAAGAGAAAGAATCTCCGTTAGCGTAATACGAATATATAATCCTATGGTTTATATATAGTTTAGGTAAGACTTTAATTATATATAGAAGGTAGAGACTTGGGTTAAGGTCGGCTGCAGTCTATGTAAGGAAAATTAAAGAATAGCCATGCTTAGTAAATTTCGATGAGGTTGAACCACTAAGGACTAAGCCCTACTTGACACAAATGGTGTTAGGACTCTAGGTCCCTTCAAGGCTGAGATAATAATAATGCAGCTTAACTGCTAAATGTTAATCCGACTCGGCAGGAATGGAACAGCTGGATCTTAAATCAGTTTATATCGAACGGAAGATGCTAGGATCCTTGCACCTCAGGGTCTAAGCTCAATTTACATTTAGCGGAAGATGCTAGGGTCCTAGGTCCTTTAAGACCTATCGGTAAACAACATATCTACCTCAACAGATTGTGGTGGCATGGTGACTGGACCTGGAGGCGCCATCACCATGATGAACATGATTGAAAATACCACAGATGTGCGGCTATTCGACTGCATTTGGATCATCAAGCCGGGCAACAACTACATGATGATGAAGACGCACATCTCATTGCGTGTGGATGACTTTTATGGCATGGCAGCGCGATCGGAGCTGACCATTAGACAGGGCACCACATCCGATGCGACGGAAATCGAGAACGTAATGTGGCCGAATAATGGACTTAGCAAGGAGAATCATATAGCGCCCATATTGACGGGCTACTATATACGATTGCGCGGAGTGTTCGGCATGTCCTCCAAGCTGGCCATCGTCTACAGCGTCTTCAATTATTTGAGTGGGTAGAGTGAAGTATTTCTTATACTCCAGCCTAATGTTGGTCTCTCCTTATAGATTGCTATATTGGCTCGGAGTTTCTGTGCGGGAATAATCACTGCATTTCCATACGTCTCCACTGTGATGGCTTCGATCACTGCGGCGATGGCAGCGATGAGCCCGACTCCTGCGAGGAGGACTGGGCGCACTTGCATCACGATCGCCGCTGGTACTCACACAAGCCCAACTACTACTTCCCCAAGATCGATCAGTATCCGGACTTGAAGACAGCCACGGGCATATTCATCATTAGCACCCTGGGCATCTTTGGCGTGCTGTCCGGCTGGATGGTGATACTCTATCGCATGGGCGTACGGGCGCGTCATCAGCGCGAGCTGCAAAGCCATTTGCAGACGATCAGTGAGCTGCTGGATCGCCAGGACGAGGATCGGCCGCCGGATGAGCCGCCCAGCTATGAGGCGCCGCCCGACTATGAGGAAGTCATCAAAGTGGGCATGCAGCAGGAGCTGCGGGAGCCGCGACGCCAGCGCCGACGTCCACCAAGGGAGCGCGGCTGCAGCCGTGCGCCGAGTAACTGCACCATGCAATCGGTGGTGCCGCTGCACCGCAGCTGCAGTCTGGAACAGGATCAGCCCAGCACCTCGGCGGCAGCGATGACACGTGCCGTCGCTTCCACCGATACCACACAGGATGCAACACAGTTGGAGCAGCAGCAGCAGCAGCACCAGCAGCAGCAACAGTTGCTATCACAGCGCATGCTGTTGGCCACCGCCATTTGTGGTAAGGACATTGCTTGAATCACCATTCAAGACTCCTCCTGCTCCTCCACCCTCCCCTGCACTTGCTAATTTACCAGTACAGAATCCCGTTTGCAGGCGCTGCAAGCACGTCTGGCACGGCGACGCCAGCAATCCTCAGTGCGCCGCAGCAATCCGTGGGGCTTGCAGCGTGCCCGCCATCGCTATCCGTTGGGCGTGAACTATCCGCAGCCGCTGGAGCGACCACGCCCACCAACAACAGTGCAACGGACGACTGTACCGACGCCTTTCGAGACAATTCACTCAATATATCACTCACTCTAGGGCTACCCAGCTCCACCACCAACCAGAGCCTGAGCAGCAACTGCACCGAGCATACGTACCTGAAGCGCTCCTGGCTGCTGGTCCAGCAGCCGCCGCATGGTCAGCGCTGTCGGGTGCAGCGACTACGCCACACCTTCTCGTCGCCCGAAGCCTTTGGCGCCCATGAGCCGAATCTGAATCTGCCCTATCCGGACTTCCTCAGTTACGGCACGAATATGCCGCACGAGCGCAGCAGCAGCAACTTTGGCTCCGAGCTCTCTAGAGATCCCTCCAGCTACAGCTTTGGCAAGCGGGCGCGACTCGCGGCCGCCGAGCAGAGCGATTGCCATACCTTGACTCCGCTGCCGACACCGACGCCGACGCCAACGCCAACGACGACGCCAAGTGGTGACTTGGAATGCTCAATACAAACGCTGCAGTCGGAGATGACGCTGTCTCAGCGGGATTTGCTGAGCGACAGTGAGGCGGAGCAGCAAGTCTCTTGCTTTGGAGCCGTCTCGCAACGACCCAAGCGGCGACGCGTGCGCAGTCGCTCCTTCAGCAGCAGCGGACGACCGGGCAGCGGACCAAAGCGACGTCTGCGGCAGCGCAGCTCTTCGGCGGACTTACTGATCTACGCCAACTTGGAGAGGGATAGGGGGGAAGGTAAAACCATACAGCGATTGTTTTTTATATGAAGTGGGATTGAAATGAAAGAGAGTGTGGATGAGAGAGGGTTCATAGAGAAGGGGGAGTATTTAAAGAGAGCTGTATATACATATAGACAGAGATAGATGGAGGAATCGATAGAGGGACCTTTATCTATCTATAGAGAGGGAGGAATCGATAGGCAGACGCCGATAGAGGGATGGATCGATTCCTCTCTATATAGTAACTGATCTACAAAGAGAGAGAGACGAATCAAGAGAGAAAGAGGTTTCAGAACGAGTGGCTTGCGGAGAGGAGGTTTACAAAGGGATATGGGATATACTATACACAGAGTGGGTATAATAAATTGTATATAGAGAGAAAACTGCATGGAGAGAACGAAAATATAGAGTGATGATATATTGAGAGGGAGCCTATAAAAGAACGATAGTATTATGCCCGATGTGATGCTGTTCAGACGCTGGTCTTACAACTAATAACATACTCATATAGAACTACATAAATATAAATATAGAAAACATTATGAAACCCAAATAAATAAATTATTTACACAGTTTGTTGCATTACTTGTTGATATATATGGCATATATAGTATATATATATATTTTGTATATAAGATTCAGCGTATTTTTGTTTATTTTGCTGCAGTGCATGCCAAACTGTATGCACGTACAGTTGGACAAGCCTAGGTGCGTTTAAAGTGCAAAAGGAAAAACGATGCAATTTCTCTATATAGAAACCAAGGAATGCGCAAAAAGTACAAACATATATGTATATATATGTGTGTGTGAGTGTGTATGACTAAACTGGTATATATAGTATGTATACATATATATAGTATGTATGTATATAGACGAATACGATAGGCGTAAGACTGCCTGCTAGCCAGAACAGTCTACATTTTTAGAGATATACGTTTATGCGTCATATATCTATGGTTGCGACTGCAGCTGCTGCTTGAGATTCTCGGCGAGCAGCGATTTGCTGGTTTCCAAGGGAACAACAATGTTGCGCAAACTGTCGATGCTGTTGCGCAATTTAGTGGCCTGAAATTTTGTGGGCAATTTCGGTGAGCCGCCAACCGAAGCAAAGGCAAACGCTTTGTACTCCTATAAAAACAGAGAAGGATATAAATGATATATGTATATGTATATCATATATTAAACACAAACTTTTATTTCAGTGGCAAACACAAAGAAAATCAATTGTCAATGAAATCAACACTGCAAATAAGGTCATTATGTAGGTTATATATAAAAAGTCAACTAAATATATAAGCATATATAATAAATTCTTCATGTATGTATGTAGATATCTCTATATAAATAATGCATGATAATGATTAACAAATTGGAGTATGGTCAATGGCAACGCAGGTGCTCACAAAACTTTTAGTATTCGAAACAAAATTTTTAAAGCCATTCTCAGGGCTCAAACAAAGAATGTAAACTTAAAAATAGCATATAAGAATAGTTAATAATAATAATAATGTAGTATGGGAACTTAAAACTGTTTGAAGAGGCTTGAACGGGCGACTGTCATGGATTAATTGTGTTGTTGTTGTTGTTGGCTGGCATTAGGTTACCTGATTGGCGCTTGGGGAGCTGGCCTCGCTGACCGTGGTCGGCCCCTGACTCATGTACGATTGGAATGTGGGTCCGGGCTGATCGGAGCGATGCGGTTGGCCGCTGCGCGTGGTCACCTTCTCCTGCAGCGAATTGAAGGTCTTTGAGAGCCAGGGCTGCCAGCTGTTCCGATTGGTTTGTAGCTCGCTGAGCGTATTGTTTAGCTGATGGTTTAGGTCTTGATTCTTGCATTCGGCCTCCACTTGCGCTAGCTTGGTCTGCGCGAGCTCCAGCTCCAATTCACGTATTCGCTGCGCAGCGGCATTCAATGGATCTAGCGGACCCAGAGGCGCATCATTCGCATTGCGTATAGGAGCCGAGTGCCGCTTAAGGCTGCCACTGCCTGACTGCTGCTTGGCATTGTCGTTGCCCACATCGATCACCTGCAGGCACTGCGAGCACTTGGAAACCGTGTGCTGCAATGCAAGAAATCTGTAGAGTAATATTTCTCTATATATTCCACTCTCATATGCTCACCATAAACTTTCCCAGCGTCTCGTTTAGCGTATTCATATCCTGCTCCTGCCTTTGTATGATCTGCTTGTACTCCTGAATGATGCCCGTGTGCTTCTTTTCCTTTTCCACAGCCCGCTCGTTGGCTGCAGCCAGCTGCTGCGACAGCGAGTCAATCTCTGCTTGGAGCTTGCGTCGCTCCTCGCCGAAGCGACTTTCATAGATTTGTGCCTCCTTCTCCAGTCGCTCCCTGTGCTGCTTTTTAAGCAGAAATTCCTCCTCGTACTGCTTTAGTTTTTTGATCTTGCGCTCGCACGCCTGCTTCATGATTTTGCGCGCCTGACTCGAACTGCGACACTTCTTGGGCAACGTGACCCGGAAATACTTTAAAATGCCCTCAAAATCGAGCTGACGTAAATCCGATTCACAGATTGACAGCAATGTGACGGCCACCTGGAACAGCACAGGCAAGCCATCCAGCAGGAATACGTCGAGCACATGGAATACAAAACATAACGGAAACCGGGCCGTATACAAAGTTAGGAACCACTGGGAGGCGTACATGTGCGTCTCAATACCGCAAGCTGTGAAATGTTCATGCAGCTTCGGTAACTGATCCTTAATAAGACGCTCCAGCTGATAGAGCCGCAGATAGAGCACCTCAAAGCCGGCCTTGTAGAGATCACGCAGTCCATAGTCGTACATTAGAGAGACCAGCACGCAGAAGGCATCCTCCTCTGGCATCTAGGATAAATGAAAATTACCTCAATAACTCTGGTTCCATATGCTTCTCCATTGTATCATTCATAAGGGACTCCTCTTACTCACATGGATCAGCAAACTGGCTGCTATGAAGCTGAGGCCCTGGCAGTAGCCCACCTCGCTGTCATGGACGGCATATGCCTTGGACACCTTGAACAGGGCATCCTGACCCGAGCCGCCGGTCTCCTTGAAACACTTGTGCGCCGGAAAGGTGCGATGTATGTCCCGCTGTATGACTGTCTCACATTTGGTTTCCTAAAAATACACAATTATTTACATTATTTCCATATATACATTATATAACCTCAAGTGTTCCGTTACTCACTTTGGTGATTAGAATCTTGTACATGTCATTCATTTCCACCTTGCCCTCCACATTGGCCAGCTTCTGCCAGATTTTTTCGCGCAGCGCCTCGGGCACACCCAGACGCACCAAGGGCGCCAGATTTTTGGGTCGCTTCTCGCCGTCCCATTCCCGCAATATGGGATCCCATTCATCGAGGGTATCCTGCGAGCAGTCCTTGGACACTTCGCCAGTGCCGCTGAGCAGCGGCTCATCGCCGTCGCTGCTGTAATCTGTGGGACAATCATCCTCAATGGACGCAATGGACGAGCTGCGCACAATGCGCGATAAATTTGTCATGCCCAGCTTGAGGAACAGAGCCGAGGAGCCTTGTTGGCCGGCCTGAAGATCGGTAATCTCCTCCGAGGGATCAATACTGTTCACCTTCCAGTTGAGTTCGTCTGTGCGCTTCAGATGCAAATAGAAGCGCAGCGTCATCGGCCGCTTGGACATGAAGTGATCCCTGATGCGCATTTCGCTGGCCGACTGAATGCTCACCGGCGTCTCAATGACAAAGCGCACCGGCTCCTGTATGCCACGCATGACAATGTCCACGGCGACGGTCAGGTTTGTTTTGGACGTTTCCTGATTGAGTTGCTCGAATGCCTTCTCCTGCGCCTTCCACTCGGCCCGTATGGCATAGGCATTCAGGCAGGCGCTCACCGAGTCGGGCTCGGTGCTCGCACCCGGGACCTGCACATAGCCCATATTCAGCATGTCAATCAGATGCATATCCTTTTGGACTACCAGCTTGCCGGGTGCGACGAGTACACCAAAGCAGCGCTCAATGTACAGGGGCTGCAGGACATTCGATGCCGTCTGCTTGACTGTGATGCACACCTCCTTGTCCGTGTTGGCGCGCAGCTTGAAGCAGCCTCGATCACGCGGCACAGCTGCATACGAGTTCTTGGCTACCTTTTCGCGTATTTCCAGCGAAACAATAAATTCATATCCAGCGGTATTTAGGGGATTTCCACTGATATCCGACGTCACCGAGTTAGCCATATCCACAGCCGAGGTCAAACTGCAGCTCATGCTGGGCGCATACGTTTGGAATGCCTTCTGAAAGCAAGCTGCAAACGGAATAGGAATATGAATATGAAGATATATATAAATGCATATATGAATCATGTCCGTGCGATTAGATACACTCACCGCTCACTTGGTTTACTGCCTCGGGTATATGGCAGCGGAACACATGGCACTGGAACAAAGCTTCTCCATGCAACCATGTGAAAGCGAAGCAGCCGTTCTCTGCGGTGTCCACGGGACCGCGATAATACAATATAATGCTTGATATTTCATAGGTAGCTATAATCGTATTGCTCTCCGCATCGTGTAGACTGAAAACGGTAAGGTATTATTGAAGGTGTGACTAATTACGATTATGAATATAATTTAAAGCAAATCGAAGAAATTGAGAATTGCAAAAAGGAATTGAAAACGGCGTGAAGTACCTAAAATAGACTATACGCTTAACATATCGTTTACATTGGCTTAATAAAATATGTTACAGTGAGTAACAGCTTGCCTTTTGCAGATGTTTTCAGTGTTCTCGGCTTGCCTCTGACATCTGTTTAATATAGTTATTAACTATTAGTTAATTAAAGCGCGCAGCAGCTTGCCATTTACAACAGCATGATTAAGGTGTGTCTCAGATAAAAGCGAATAACACTTTGTCTTTTACAGGTTCTGTTAGTGTAGTACAATGCTTTTTTCTCCTCCTATTTCATCTTAAAGCGATCCAAGCAATGTTTCTAATATTAAGCCTCTAACAGGTTCTTCTTGATTACTTACACAACCAGTCCATCGGAACAATTGGGTATGCTGACAGTGATCTTGAGGCCCACCGACTTGGAGCCGCTGTTCAGTTCGCACATGATGCGATAAACATCTGTCTCCGACTTGGGGGCATTGATATTGGCAGCGCCCAAGTAGGTAACACCGGCGAATATAGTGCAGCCCTGATCGATTTCTGAAACTATTGAAGAGCATTTTGTTTAGATATGGCTGAGTATATCAATATGATTCTCGAGCTTACCCTCCTCATCGGTGGTGTCGCCTTTCTCTGGCTTCATGGCATCCTGTTTCTCCTCAATGCAGGCGGGACTCGCATCGATGCAATCATAGAACACCGACTGACCGACACGATTGTGCTCCGAATTGGATGCATCCTCTGATTCATCGCAGCCCTTGGGCGAGAATAGATTGCATTTGAAACGCATTTCCGTATCGCCAGCGGTCTCGGTCTGTGCTTTCCGCCCAGCTAATGGCAAAGTCAATGATTTTTGTTGTTGCTCCGTTCGTTGCGGCTGTTGAGGCTGAGGCTGCTGCTGCTGCTGCTGCTGATGACGCGTCTTATCGTTGACAGCTGCAAATGTTAATTGGCAATTATGACAAAAGTGCCTCTATATGGTTGAAATTTAAATGAAAATATCGTATTGATCTTTTATGTGGAATGCGATTCGATAGCTTTTCTGAATTATTTTTGTTTGTTATTTGCTTTTGTTACCATGACAGCCATTGGAAGCCATTCGTTTAGATAAGATTGCGCACTGGGCTTACTTTTAAGTCCACCCTCCCTCCGTCTATTTAAAAGGCGCTCGCGTCCAAATATGGAACGTTGTGTGTGCGCAGCTGGTGTCTGGCAAACAACTGAGCTTCAGCTGTCTTCTTCGGTTCTTTTTTATTACTCAATTTTCCCTCTGCTCAGCACTTGTTACTCACCTGCTGTATTGGCAGCCAAGCTGTTGCGTTCCAGATGCAGGTCACGCAGCGCGTCCGTCATCTCGTGCTTGATGTCGCTTAGATTGCGATTGTGCGCCATGTCCAAAGTGGGTGAGCGATCGCCGCCAGCATCGCCGACACCCGGTGAAACCGGCAGAGCACTCAGTGATTCGGTCACTTGGGCACCCACTGTGGACGCCGCTGGCGGTGATGCCAATTGCTCCAGCGGTGTAGCCACATTGCTATCATTCACAATCTCGTATTCACCACTGGTTGTAATCGAAGACTCCGAGGATTTCGTGCTCAAATTATCATCCATTATGTAGGCTCAACTGTGTGTGAGTGTGTGTGTGTGTGTTTGTGTGTGCGATTTACTTCAAGGTTGTTTTATTTCGTTTCGCTACGAATTTCTTTCCCTTTTGTTTATTCGAGTAAGTTTATGAAATGCGCATTTTCTTGCAGTTAGATAAACTTATTTCTATTTTTGTTCAATTTCAATTAAGAATTTTTTAATTTTCAATGCACCTCCGCTCCATTGTTTAGCTTTTGCCTTAAATCGATGACGAATCGTTACTTTTTTTGTTGGGGTTTCTTTGGGGGGCGTCAATTGCGTTGCATGTGTCTGTATGTGTGTTTGTGTGTCTGTGTGCGTTCTGTTTGCTTGACACAAAAACTACAGTTTTGTATCGTGGGGTGGCGCTTATGTCGTATTTGGGGTCAATAGTTGCCTGCTTTACGTACACTATGTATAGATTTTTGTTTACATATTTTTGTGGTGTTGGTAAACGTTGCGCGTTGGCCTAGTGCTGGCACCTGATGCAAAAGTAATACTGTTGTACAACATGCATACATTCCACAAGATAGGCAGGATGAAAATTCCTGGATAGGTGATAGACACCTGTTGAAATACATTATTTATTTTATATCTTTAGTTTTTGAATCAATCAAAAATACTCGCAACCGACAAGTTATAACAGCGGCATATTTCATATCCTGTGACTAGCAGGCAAACACATTCCACATCGTACGCAATAAAATAACCATACACAGCACTGTTATGAAACGCTTGCAGCACTGTTAAATATCGATAGTGGCGATAGTATTACCGCGCTGTCTGACAAAAAAAACGTGCGCGTGCTGCATTTCGTTGCTATATTTTTGTAATATTTCATAAATTTCTGTACACTGTCAGGCACTATTTTAATTGCAGCGAAATGTGGCCGCGTTTTGGCATTAAAGTCGGTAACAGCACACTGTGCATTGCTTACGTAAAGGCCGATGGCAAGGCTGAAGTAATTGCTAACAAGCAAGGTGATCGCGTCTCGCAAGCGTGTTTGCTATGGAACGGCGATGCGGAGACGGAATGTGGCCTGACGGCCAAACAGAAGATGGCCACACGACCCAAGCAAGCGGTGGCGCACAGTTTTCAACTGCTGCAGCCCGAGGAGGAGCTCAACGAGGATAAATTTAACAAATTGGCGCTTAAGGAAGTGCCCTGTGAATACGATAAGGAGGCCTTTGTGTTCCGCATGGAGCACACAGTGCCGGCGGATAGAGATGATCAAGAGGATACGATAGTCACGAAAGAGATGAGCGCCTTTGAAGTGACCGTGGAACTATTGCGAGCGGAACTGGAGCTGGCGAGACAATACCACACGGACACAGAGCACGAGCCAATCGCCGTACTTTCCATACCCAGCTACTATCCGGCGAAATCGATCAAGATGCTCTCGGATGCTGCCAAATCGGCTGGTTTTCATGTAGCCCAAATCATTGCCGAGCCCACAGCTGCAGTGCTTTGCTATAAAATTGGTGAGGAGCAGCTGGAGAAGCAGCAGGAGGCACGTCGGCATGTGCTGACCATCAAATGCGGCGGACTGTACAGTAACTTTGCCTTGTATGCTGTGCAGAATGGCTATTTCATTGAGCTGGCCACCTTCGGGCCCTTTTCCATTGGCGGCCGTCAGTTCACCGATGCGCTGGTGCAGTTCATCTGCGAGGAGTTCAAGCGCAAGTACAAACTGGATCCGCACGAGTCACGTCGTTCGCTGGCCAAAATTCGAACTGCTGCAGCCAATTGCAAGCATATCTTGACAACGCTGCCGTCCACGCAGCTGTACATAGATTCCCTGATGGATGGCGTTGATTACAATGCGCAAATGTCGCGCGCACGCTTCGAGAGTCTCATCCAGCCGGTGATCAATGGGCTGATACAGCAGCTGAGCGAGTGTGTGGAGCGTGCACAGCAGACGCATCCGGAACTAAAGCGCATCGACGATATTGTGCTGCTGGGCGCCACCATGCAAATACCGAAGCTGCAAGCAGCAGTCGCAGCTCGCTTTCCGGACGCCAAGCTGCACAATAGCCACTCTACGGACGAGGTGGTGGCCATCGGCTGTGCCCGGCAGGCGGTCTTCCTGCTCGATCCGCGGCAGGCGCAGCTGCAAAAGGCCGACGATTGTGTCCTCGTCGAGGATGATTTGTACATTTGGCATGGCAACGACGAGACGAATGCCAAACTGGTTTTGAGCAAGGGCAGCATATTGCCCGCCAAGATCAAAGTGACACTGCCACAGTCGGGCGAGGGAGATGCAATCGATGCCCTGGCCTCGTTCAAGCTCCGCACCGGACAAAGCGAAATATTGGCACGTCTGCCCGACACGACGCCGACCATCGATGACGGACTATTTCAGCTGGAGGTCGAAGTGGATTGGGATGACAAGGATGGTAATATTGTGCCATTGGTGCGGCTGCGTTGCATGTGAACTCAATCATTTAGTCTATTTATTGTTGGTAGCCTAATACTTATAATAAAAACAGAGTATATAATAAATCCAAAAGCTTCAATCAATTGGACCAAGCTCCAAGCGAGAATCTGTCTCTAGAAGTCCATTGACTTCGTCTTGAAGTTCCGTTCCAGCTTACGCAAAAACTCCTCGAAGACCACGACGCCCTTGAACATGCTCGTCTTCTTGTAGTCCTTGATGCGACTCTTGTCCTCGGGCGCATCCATGTAGCTCTTCGTCTTGTCATCATAGGCATTGATCTCCTGCAGCAGCTGCGATATGGTGGGCACTGTTGTCGGATCAAACTTGCCCACGGCGCTGGCACTGAAAGGTATGCACACCTTGCCCGTGGCCGGGTGGATGCAGAAGGGCGCCTTCAGCAAGTGATTGAAGCCTTTGGTCACATTGATGTCCAGCCGAGGATAGAGCAGGCACAGCTGCACCTCCTCCACAATGTGCTTCAGCTTGCGACTCCACACATTGGCCGCACTCGTGCGCATCGAATTCGCATAGCGCACAAAGCTCTCCCAGATCAGTTTGGAGTGGGCACCATCCTCGTGGCTCTTCTGTAGGTACGCCTCCAAATTACTGCGAGCCGCCTCGTCGCTAACCATTTGCAGCAGTTTGCTGACGCCTTTGGGCGAGCCAAACAGATTCTGATCCTCGAGTATGATCTCCTCAAACATGGGCTCCACAATTTTCAAAGCCCGCCGCAGACTATGATGCGTGCGATCGCCGATTTGGACACGGGCCACATTGTTCGTATAGGTCAGTATATTCAGATACTCAGCGACCGCTGCTCGAGCACGTGCGTCCAAATGGCGAGCCGTGTGATCGCATACCCAGCAATGTATGCCTCGACGGCCCGAGAATATCCACAGCATGTGCTCGAAGCCAAAATCTTCACGCAGCGCCACATCCAAGACTTTCGCCGCCAGCATCATAAACTTCCAGCACTTGAGACACATCTCTGCACCCGAGCAACAGTTGCGTATATCGTCATAGTCCGTAGCATCAATATCGAAGACCAATTCACGCTGCACGGGCGTCAAGCCACCGGCCACACTGCGGAAGTTCTTTGGCCTGATGTTCATCACAGGCCCGATATCTATTTTATAGGGATTACGCGTACAGATCTCCTTCTCCAGCTCCGCCTGCGTCTCAAAGCACAAGTAGCGTATGTAGATATCGTCTTGCAGAGTGAATGAAATTTCCCGATTCACAAATATGTTATCCTCAGCTAAAAAATGGAAATATTTTTTAATATAATCAGATAAAATCTTAATAGCGTATAGTTCTTACAATGTCCATAGTTCAGCCAGCGATAGAAGGGCTCGTGTGGAAAGAGGCGTCTATAGTAGACGGGTAGCATGTCTGGCAGTATATTAGGGTCGTAGGCGGGCGCCTTGGACTCTGTCGTTGCCTGTGGCTGAGTTTCCTGCTCTGCGTTCAGTTCCGGCATGTCGAGGATGTCTTATATAAAGGAATTTATGAAATGAAATGCTAAAAAAAAAGAATGGCATCAAAACAGAGATGAAAATAAGGCAAAACTAGAGCTGCTCTTATAAGTAAAAGCAAATTATATAAGTTGAAGCTCGTGACAGACCTAATGAAAATTGCATAGAAGGGCGTTATTTTCAATTGAAGGTTTGAGTGAAAAATTTAATTAATTTATATTTATTGAGCTGGCAATGGGTTCTAGAGACATGAGCCCATAACAAATTTATACCCAAAGTCGTAATATAAGTAACGCTCATAGATGTAAGTGGGAGTCATAAATAGACGATAATTACTAGAACAACTGATTCTAAAAGATATTCTGAAGAATACAACTTAAGAGTTAAATATTTTACATCACTACTTCCCTATTTTGAGAATATGAGAGTCACATGGAAAAGCATTATTTATATATAACGCAAAATACATTATTATGGTCAAGTTAGAATTTAACTTATATTACACGTGTATAAGCTTCCTCTACAGATTATCAGAAGTGCAGAGAAAGGCGTAATTACATGAAGTACAGTCAGCATCAGCAGTGAATGAGATAAGCTCTTAAACGTGGTTTCAGATTACATAAGCACTATATGAGTATATGAAGATAAGTAAAGTAAAACGACTTTAAAATTTTTTGTTTTTGTCGAAACCTTATTGCTATATTTTTATATATATAATTTTTTTGATGATTTTTGTTTTGTTTTCTGTTTTTTTGTTTCTTTTTTAAAGAGAAATACACGTTTGAGCTTAAAATATTTAGATATTTTAACGACATGCAATTAAAAAATATACGCAGCTAATTAATTGTCAATTGAATGAGTCGAGTCCAAGTTGAGGTCGAGTTAACATAAATGGAATAATAATAGAACCGCAAAAACAATATATATACTTATATGGTCAGTGAGTCTGATAAATTTGCTTAGCTTGCTATATAGAAATTCTATATAGATATATATATATATATATATAACTATATATACTCGTAATGTAACTACTAATTATTTAAGGTCTAAGTTAGATCATGGTTTCTGTAATTTTTGTTTTTGGTGCTTAAAGTTAAAATTCATCATCAACACGCTCGCACGCACGCACGCTCACACAGACAGACACAATTACAAACGAATCAGGACAGCAAGGACTATGCAGCCAGCGATCCATTCTGTTCATCTTCTAGGCGACAGTCAAGCGAATGTCCTGCATTTTATGCTGCTGCCACGAATGCGCTGGCTGCCGCGGCGGTGCTGTATTGTACAAGGTAACCGATGCGATGTGATTGTTCGGCATCACTTCAAAGATTAGATCCTGATAGCCATAGCAGAAGGTCGAGCCAAAGGGATTCGCTGTATTCGTGGAGCTGGCACGATGCAACACCACCGGACGCTCGGACGTTGCCAGCGACCCACTAATCTCATCCCATTTGGTGTAGGCAGTTATATTGACATGATCATGCTTGTTGTCGCTCTCGCTCGACTGATGATCGGTCTCCAGCTGAAACTGGAATTCACAGCGATGGTACATGTTGAAATTAAAGTGGCCCGGATAATTGGTGTGCAGTATGAACTTCTTGCAGGTCTGTGTGCGGGCATCGAACAGCACATCGATGCCCAGGGTGAAATAATTGAAGAATATATCGCTGCGTTTGCTCTGCACTTGGCGATTGACGCTCGAACTGTGAATCTTCATTTTGTCCTCACTCTTGAAGAAAATGCGATTGGGCGCACCCAAATTGGTGGCGACATCCTCACAGCTATCGCCGAAGAGCAGCTCACGCGTAAAGCACTGACGGCGTGGCTCTAGCGCCCGACCCGAACCCTCCGTAAATAGTTTCAGCTTCAAGCCCTTTGTGTGGCCATATGAAGTCCGCAGCACGGTGGCCGATTCCAGATACATTTGTCTATGGTAGCAGGACAATGGCAGTGATGGAGCCCGATTCTCGGCCACATTGCTGCCCGCGTACAGCGCCATTTTGGAGACCACAGGCGAGGCGCCATTCAGAAAGACCAGCGAGCCCATTCCATGGCCATAGCCGGAGTGCAGTTTGCTGTCCACGGGGAAATAGAAGCTAAGTCCGCGAAAATGCAATGCAAAGAGCTGTTTGGCCGCATCATAAACACCTGGATGGGTGGCTCCGAACGAATGCTCGATCTGCTCGATGCTGGGCAACACTTCAGGTGAATTGAAATAGACGCCGCAATATTTCAGCTTCACCAATTTCATGTTGAACACTTCAATGGTTTTCAGACGCTGAACAACTGGATCAAAGATCAAACGTAATCCATCCTGCGGCAGATTTATGATGATGTCCACGCCCAACGGATTTGTATCCGAGTAGAGCACTTGTACACCTCTTATGATGCCCACCTGCGACTGTATGATGGCAATCGCTTGGGAGAAATGCATTCCCAGCACAAACTCCCACGCATCGCAGCCAAGCGAGATCTCAGGCACAATTTCCAGGTCGAGCATATTCTGTGACAAAATTTATTTTTGGTTTTTGTTTATTTTGATTTTTGTTGTAATTTTACAATTTTTTTTGCCACCTTACTGACCTTGATGTGTGAAATCAGCTGCGACCCACGAAAATATGCGCAATTTCGTTTTGTTTTTTGTTATTGTTTTTGTCTGTTATTTGTTCAAGTCCGTTGTTTCTTCTTATCCTCTGCCCCTTGTTTCGTGTTGTTTTTGGTGTCTGTGCTATTATTCTTGCTTATTTTTTGCACGTCCAATTGTTTGATTGCGTAAACGTTTAAGTTAAGGGCGTTTTGCTATTTATTTTACAGCTTTGCGTATGTTCTAAAGTTTATTATCGTTTTCTAATTCACACTCCGAACAAAGGCAAAAAAAAAAGGCAAATGCGCAGCAGAAATACAAATGTAATGTAATAACAAAGTTGAAATATTGCCAGATCGTTCAAACAGCTGATTTTGCAAATTCATTGAATGGTTCTAAACTTACATTCTAATGAAATTAAATGAGATGCATTGCAATCAACTTATAGAATTAGCCACTTTTTCGTAAGGTTTTATATAAATAAGTAAGTAAATGTTTTATTTCTAAATTATATTTGTTTGGTTGGTTGGAGGTGGCAACGCTCATTAAGAACGCAACAGCTGTGTTGAGCAGCAGCGCAGCGATTTTTGGCGCGCTTTTTCTGGAGTGTTTTGCACTTACGTTTCAATTTTATATGGAATGCTGATAAGCTGCCAACGATTCCCCGTAATTTTATATGGAAAGGTTCTTCAGTTGTGCAGTCTATGGTAATTAAATCAATTAAATTTCTCGTAAATTACGATTTACAACTAAAGCAACACCACGCACCGCACTCACAATAACAAACTGTGTGACCAGGTTATGGGAGATATTCATACCCTATTTTTTACATTTTTCAAGCGCGCCAAACAGAAGCAAAACACAAGTTTTCTACCTTTACGCACTTTATGTATAAATACTTTATGTCTAGTGTAAAAAAATGACATCACAATAATTAAACAACTTGTGCACCGTGATCTGAACAGCTAGCACCACATTTAACACAACTAAAGTCGGCATCTGTTAATAAATTAGCGCTTAAGCAATAGTAACAGTAAATGTGTCCACAGCCCATGTGATGGGGCTGAGTTGGACGTTCTCCACAATATGTACAAGTGGTATTCCCAGTCATTTTGGCAGCAATCAGATCCCGCTTCAAACTCTCCCGTCGCTTGGAATGATGGGACTCCTCACCAAAGAAGCCAGCCTTTAATAGTCTTTGGATTTTACGAAAATTAATTATTGGTAGCAAGAGACCCAGAATTTCCTGTAAGTGAAGATATGTTATTTGCTATCTTTATCTTTCTATTGATATCGTACCATAAATCCGCCCCAAAGCAATTCACGGGTCAGGTATTTGTAGCCAATATCGCGTCTTTGATTGTTACGCAAACTAATATAATCCAGTCCCAGCAGAAAGTCAATTAACGTAGGTTTTCGTCCCGTCTTTAGAAATCGAAAATAGTTAAGCACATTCAGGACAAGGGCGCTATTCTCTGTCCACGTTATGGCTCTGCTGAACCATTCGACGCGGCGTGATAGACGCCTCTCTTCCCAGCTCTTCACGTAGCCTGGAAGCACAGTTAACGCAAAATGCAAAGCCAAACGTGAAATTGTTAACTTTTCCGCATCGTAAGCTAAAACCAAAAGTTGTTGACCAAATGTGGAGCAACGCTTGCCCACTGAACCAAACCAGATAGCCGATTGTATAAGTAGATCCAACTCGGGTTGAATTCTGATAAAAAGCGCTGGCTGAAATTAGGTTAAGATTAGCTATTGAGGCAACATATAAGATAATATTTTAATACCCACCGATATTGCCTGTAAATTCTCGAGCAGGTTGTCCCGTATCATGCGGGCTATGTCTTTATTGAGATAAATGGCATCTATCTATATGATAATATTAAGGATATCATTATGATTCATTGCTATTCAATGTATCCGTTTACCTGATTAACGCGCGGCACATATTTATTTTTGGCCAACATTTTTGTTTACATGCAGCGGATTCTCATCTGCCTGCTGTACTCTGCCCTTTTGTTATCATTCCTTGTATTCGTCAAATGGTAGGTGTGCACACATTGATAATTGCATGTTAACTAACAGTTGTCTAACAGTGCTGCTCCACAGCGGCGCGCTACTACTCCACATCTAACATGCATTTTGAAGTTTTTTCTGCATTACCAGTTTAAATATATTCATAAATGTCACTTGGCGTCTTTTGGATATATTTTATGACATTTAAGTCTTTATCAAACTATTTATTGCCAATTAATTATGTTTTTCCAACCATTTAGGAAGCAATTCGCATGTTATATAATTGCAATCAAAACAAATATTTAAAACCCGTTCAAAAGCGGAAAAAATGTTTGACGCTTTTCTTGTAATCACTTTTAATTGCTAACCAGTTGGACTTGTCACTTGTATTAGACTTACAAAAAACCCCATAAAAAATGGCTAATGTTAATGGCTTTAAGTGCAAGTTCATTGGCCAAATATAAAAAGGAAACTAAATAAAAACAACTATTTTTCTTTTTTTTGATTTTATAAAAAGTACATAATTCACATTGTCTTTATTACACAATTTACAATTCATTTGTTTTATGTTTATTTGTTTGTTCTCTGTAAAAACTCTTTTTACATTATTTAATGAAATTATATATGGTATATAGATTGATAAATTCGTCTGAGTGAATGAACTAGAACTTAGAAGCGGATGAATCGTAGCAGATAAAATAGTGACTAAGAGACAGAGAGAGAGAGAGAGAGATAGAGAGTGAGCTAAGAGTGAGTTAAGAATGTGTAGGTAGCTAGAGGAAATTAGTTGCTATCACAGAAATAAAATACAATGTAAAAATGATATATGAGTATTATGTAGTATTATAATGCCTGCACTCGGGCAAAGAGGAGTGCGCGGTGTTTATCAGTGTCCTAATTACGAGATATGAAGCTGATTACATTACATGGATCGTTCGATTGTATGTGTTTGAGGGTGTGTGTGTGTGTGTGTGTTTGATGAAGCGACTTTATCAAGAAATTTGGCTAACTCTAGAAACATATATAGTTTTATATGGTCTCATGTTTGTTTTCTGCTCTCTTGGGGTTAAAGGCATTTCGTTACTTAATAGTGATGCTCGTGCAGATCATGGATCTCCTCATGGTGGTGCACTGGCGCTGTCTTGTGAACGACAGCATTGAAGCCATTGTGCTTGTCGGCGGTGTAGTCCACAGTGCGAATGGAACCATCGGGCTCCACCAGAGAGTATTGGCCCTTCACGGTGTCACCGTCGCGGGTCTCATGCTGCGACTTGACGTCGCCAGTGTGGAAGTCGTTGACGCCATACTTGAAGGCATATTTGGGAGGGGCCTAAGACACAGAGGGAGAGAGAGAGAGAGAGAGAGAGAGAGAGAGAATGTAAACCTACAATTATTCATTAGTCAGCTCTCCCGTCCACTCACATAGTAATCCACATGCTCATCCTCTGTGTGATGCTGTTCCACCTCGTAGTGTGGTATCTCATGTCCATGCTCCTCGCCCAGGGAGATGCGCTCAATCTGATGCTGTCCATAGGCGTGTATCGGCGCCGCCTCGTGATGGGCCAGATGCTCATAGCCGCCGTGGCTCTCCTCATAATAATGATGTTGGTCCACCGGATAGGCCAAGCTCAAACAGAGAGCTGACGCCAAAATCAGATACTGCAATTGCATAATTGGACAGCGGACTTAGCTAATTGTTTGTTAACATCACTCGGCCGAGGAGGTCTCGCAATTAGCGCTAAGTTCAACAAGTGTTTGCCAAAAACCTGCTCCCAACAACATCTCCTTTTCTTTTGTGGGTGTGTGTGTGTGCATTTTTAATAAAGTGTTTGCAGTGGCTGTGGCTGCTGTGGTTGTGGCTGTTTAGTGGCTTTTGCCACTTGGCTACACTCGACTTGAATTGTAACATTTACTTTAATTGTGGTTAGCTGCAACTTTTGTGGTGTTGTGTTGTTTTTTCTTTTTATCTGATAAAGCAATATTTTCAAACTTGAATTTTTTGTTGCTTTAACTTTATCGAAATCAACTTAAAAATAACTTGATATATGAAAAACTTATTTGAATCGTTCAATCAGCTCTTGAACTTGATTTCAATGAGTTAGAGTATGCAAAGGAATTGCGAAATATTTTGCAGTTTCTTTTTTTGGATGTTGCAATTTTTTTTTACGTTCTTTGAATGGCAAAGTTATTAAAAATATAAATCAATGAAAAATTAAATATAAAATGATAAAATGTATAATTTTAAATATCATTTACAATTTAAGCAACGTTTTTCCTTTTTTGAGTAAATCTTGACTACTTTAATTCTTAAGAGATGTATTGCACAAACATAAAAATGTATGTATAATTTTTCAATTTGCATACTTTTCCTAAATACCTTAATATATTTTAGAAATTATTTTATATGTTTTTATATTTCATTAGTTTATATAATTTAGAAAACATTTTATATTTCGGTTAATAGTTTGCATATCATTTAATTAATTTTTATATATATTTATATTAAAATATTTATAAATTTAGTTTAATATATTTTTTATTTTATTTTGTAGACCACGTTTGAATGAATGCAAAGTCCATTCATAATGTTTTCTTAATTATTTCTATTAAATGCATATATGTTATATATGTTATACATATATGTTTTTTCCTACAATTCTATAAAAATACATTAAAATTTGTGAAATCTATGATCAACTTTGTAAAGATTTTGAAATATAGTTTCTATTTTTGTTGTTGTTTAGATAATTTATACGTCATATTTCAATGCATATTCTATAACAAAAACTTAAAAAATATCCTAGATGAAATATATATTTAAAATCTCTTTAGACTTTAAAATATACTTGATGGTGCCAAGAATAAATTTTTATTTCTGATTTCAAAAATATAAAATCTCAGACATTTTCTTGCCTCAGTCTAAGTAACAAATATTATCACAGCACTTGATAGGACTATTCTGATATCATATCATGCCATATCATTATGATCACATATGATGCATATGCCTTGTTTATATTTGATTTTTTACACTTTCAGCACTTTGTGTGGTAATTGCTTATTGTTATCCTTGAAGGATGCACTGCAGTTCGTTGTTAGCACATGAATATCCTTTCATTATATAACTGTTATCCTTTTCGACTTGGTCTCACCTTAAAGGCCATTTTAATAGGTTTTGGTTTGATTGTAACTTGGTTTTGGTTTGATCGACGTTCCACGAGCTGCACGCAACGGGATTCAACAACTGAATAATATGGTTGCAACGAGCCACCATCGCTTTTATATAGTTAGGAAGAAAGTCAAACAACAAAAGCCAACGTCGCTGTCGGCGTCGCTGTCGACGCGTCGACAGTGAACGGCGCAGCAAATGCTGATCTGTGAAATAATGTAAAACAGTTCAGTTAGTAACTGTAGTTAATGTGTGCAACTAACTCGGTATGTGTGTGTGTGTGTGTGTGTGTGTGTTTGGCTACTAAACCATTATTGTTAGTATCTCAACTATGTGTAGGTGCCTTGGTTAGTTTTGCCAAACAAATACAGGTAGCTTAACATACTTATTTTATTTTATTTTTCTTTTTTTGAGTACTTTTATAGCTATATATATATGTATGTAGCTCGATCGCTACATAATGCAAGAAAAACTCCTCTGCAAATCTTGTAAATTCCGAGAGCATTAAAACGCAGTTTGACCCAAATTTTGAGTTCAACTTTGCCATGATTTTGATTTCTGTGTTATTTTGTATACCCTGAAATGGAATGGAAATGGGGTGAAGAGGGTATGATGATTTTGTTGGGATTGGTGTGTTAAAAGTAGATGGAGACGTGATTTTAGTATGTAGATAATCAAGATTATGTTGAGCTTCTGAGCTTCACTTTCCCATTAATATTTGAATACATATGCATGCATGATTAGGATAAGCTATATGGAATCGGAATGATCATATCGCATATTCCAAAAATGCTAATAGATTCCGTCTCTGCGTTTGTCTTTATTTTGCCTGTAGATATCTCAGAGCCTAAGACCTTAAATATTTCTAAATTTTTAGATGAAGATAAACAACTCATTCGAAGAAGTTTTAAATCATATATAAAATTTTGTTCAAGGACCAGCTATAGATTCAATATACTATACTGTCTAGCTCATTTAAATATAATATATATGTATATAATCTTCTAACCATATTTTGCCAGACTGAAGGGGTATTCCTTAGCCGGTCACACCCGTCTGCGGCACTATTATTAGCTATGCATTGTGGAAGCTGCTAAGCTGCTGCTGGTCAAGCTTTGTGTTTGCTGCTATCGTTTACTTTTAATGCGCTAATCGTAAATTGTAAGCTGAACATTATTTTGGTTCCCTTTCGGCCACAATAAACAATCGAGCGGACTATATAGCCCAACTTTTGTAATATTTAAGTGTTTGCTGCTGCTGCTCACGCTGCTGCTGGAGGCCTTTATTGCAGATAGATTTTCATTAGCTGCACGTCGTTTAGATTGTACTTCAAGTCAAAGTTAAGTGCAACATCAGCAGCAGCAAACAGCATTGAGAAATTGACCAATTATTTTGCGTCAATTTTCAATTGAATGATTTTTCTGGAGGCAACTGCTCCACACTGTTGGTTAATTAGCCAACGGAGCGTATACTTCATGCAGTTATTCGACAATCAGCCTTAGAAGTAATTCACATATGTCTTCGATTTGTAAATGCTTTTCGTATTACACAAAAAGTCATTTTGTTTTCGTGTACAATTTAGTCCATTTGCAGCAAATGAAGGTCTGTAATAGGTTTTTTTTGGGGCTGATGTTAGACTCTAATGAGCGGTAATTCGAATAGCCTTGAATGCAGTGGAACATTTTTTTCGTTTTTCATTTAGATTGAAATCGTGCACAGACAGGAAATCTATTATTTGTAAATTGAAAAAGGTAAGAATATAGGAAAGAGTATAAAAATAAATATAAATGGTATGTGATTAGGGTTTATAGATAAGATTTATAGTTAGTTATAGGCACAGTTAGAAGTAACTTGACTTAGCTTAAAAAATCACAAGAATTATCAGATGGACGTTCAAATTTCTATAAAGAAAAGACGTATACATATATATACTATGTAAAAATAATGCCCTATAATTGTTATACAGACCCCATTATCATGCCTGTGGACTTAGGGTATATAAAAATAGTTTTGCTATATATAATTTCTGGTTTAATATCTATTACTAGATAAAAATCACCTTCTCTAATCTCTGATCACTTTACATTTCTTGACCTCCCCAACACCTAACCTAAACATCATTATATGAACTCCAATTGAAACTATATTTTGTTTATTGACTTTTCCATTTGCATTCGTTATCCTATCTGAATTTGTTTACCGATTCAAGTGCTGCCTTTGGCAATACTCACCTCATGCTCAGCACATTCATAGCCTCAATTCTGAAGATCGTCTGGAGTTGGCCTCAGCGCAGGTTGATGTACTTTTAAATGCAGTAACATTTTTTTTTTTTTAATTGCTTTATTTAAAGACGACAACATTTGACAACGTTGCAAAGCATGACAAGACAAACGAGTCAAATAAACAGCAACAACACCAAGAAAAATGAAAATATATATATTTATATATTTTTGTTTTTCTCTAATGATTACCAATCCGCCAAATCCCGAAATCAAAAAGCATTTGCACGTACCACAACAAAAATATAGCAAATCAAATAAGTGCTTAATTATGGTCGACAAACTAAACTACACACATATGTGTATGTGTGTGTGTGTGCGTTGGTGTTGCTGCAGGTGAAAAATATAACGCAAGTCAACATGCCAACTTGCTGTTGGTGTTGTTGTTGTTGCAGTTGGAGTTGGAGTTGTAGCTGGAGCTGGCATACCGAAAAGCCAACGTCTCTTTTTCGAGATGTTTTGCAATTTGGCGAAGCGACGCAAATTGAACGCAATGTTGATACAATTTTCCAGTGCCCGGTTGCCGGCGCGACTCTTTATTTTCGTTTCATGCCAAATGCAGTGCACTCCAATGAAAGCGAGCAGCAAGGAAACCATATAAGTACATGTATGAGTCGAATGAATACTCTATATAAGATTTGACATGGACAGAGTTAGAATGAGAGTGCAAGCTGAGGTTAGTGGCAAAGGGCGCGGGCGGGTGAGAGGGGATTGGTAGAGAGAAAGAAGTAAGATAGACTAGAAGAATGAGGGAATGAAGTGAGAGTGAGAAAGTAGAGGAGATAGGAGAGTGAGATAGAAAGAGAAAGTAATTTAATTGAGATAGTGTAAACGAGATTTGTAGACAGAGGGAGACAGAAAGTAAGAACTACAGAGAGCGAAAAACAAGGAACTACAAAGAGAGAGAGAGAGAGAGAGAGAGAGAGAGAGAGAGAGAGAGAGAGAGAGAGAGAGAAAGAGAAAGAAGTTGATAGAGAGTGAAAGAGAGAGAGAAACAGTTAGAGAGAGACAGAATAGAGTGGGAGAAAGATAGATAGAGAGAGAGAGAGAGAAACAGAGACGGAGAGAAAAATAAGTTGATAGACAGTGAAAGAGAGATAGAGAGAGAGAATTAAGCAGATAAAGAGAGACAGAATAGAGTGGTGGGAAGATAGTGAGAGAGAGAGGGAGGAAGAAAGAAAGAGGGAGGAGAGAAAGAAGCTGATAGAGAGTGAAAGAGAGACAAAGTGAAACAGTTAGAGAGAGACAGAATAGAGTGGGAGAAAGATAGAGAGTGAACAAGATAGAAAATGAATAGTCGCCTGCTGCAAGCCTTAACTGATATACCCTATGGGCACTTGTTTTTTTTTTGGCAAGCAGGCACAACAATAACAATACAACAATTTTCGCTTGATTTCGATGTGTTGTTGTGCGATTTGGCTGTCTATGCAAAAGTTGTCGTCATCGTTGCAAACGCTGCTCAAATATTTTCAATTTTGTTTGCTCATTGAAGCGTCGATTGTTGCCGTTGCTATTGTTGTTGCTGCTGTTGTTGTTGCAGCTCCTGCTGGCAGCAGGTGTTAATTTTTAGTTCGATTTTTAGTCTTAACCAAAAAAACAAAAATAGTTTAGTTATAGTTTTACAGTTTTGCTACAGCCACTCAATCAAATTCCACTCACGAAAAGTGAAAAGTCACAAAAGCAACTCACTAGCGCAGCTGCTGTTGCTGTTGCTGCTGCTGCTGCTGTTGCTGCTATTGCTGCTGCTGCTGTTGCTGGTAGCAGTGCCCGGCAATTACCTAGTAACTCATATTTACTGTTGGACATTTAGTACATGCATTAAGTGCGGCTGCTGTGCATGTGCAACATGGCGAGCCGCTGTTGCTAGTTGCCCGATTGTCTGGCATTTGACTGCCTTAGTAACAGCAGCAGCAGCAGCAGCAGCAGCGGCAGCAACAACAACTTTTGTCTCATTGTTTCATATTTATTTGGACTCTGGCCTCCTAACGAGCCTCGGTGCAAGCGACGCGTGCATCTTTCCAAAGTTGTCGTGGGAATCGTTGTTGTTGCTGTTGTTGTAAAGCTTATCCTTTTATGCGGCAAGCTTGCGCAACAGCAACAGGCATTGTTGTTGCTGCTGCTGCTGCTGTTGCACGTAATTGAAAATTACATTTTGGTTGCTTTGGCGAAAGCCTTCGAGCTATGGCATAATTTTATTGACTGCAATTCATATTCATTTATTTGAAGGCAAAAAGCACATCAGCAATTGTTGCTGCTGCTGCTGTGATTTTCTTCACGCATTGTTAATGAGTCTGCGTTGCTTTGAAGCGCCACTGGCAACTGCGAGATGCGGCGCATTGAACTTAACGTGCTGAAAATCAATTAACAGCATTAGCAACACAAGTTGCCAGCTGGAAAAGTGCGTAGCAACATTTCAAGCAACATGTTGACAACGTCTTAAATGTTGCAATGCAGCAAGGCATTGAAAGAGAGAGAGCGAGACAGAGTGAGAGGTGTTGCTGTAAGTGTGATAATGTTTGAGTTGTCCATTTATTATGTCAAAATAACTGTAAGCTTACAAAAAATGATTTATTGTACATTTCAATTAGGCAAGTAATTGATTTCAATTTCAATTTCAATTAGTTTTTTAATTAATTATGTAATTTTAATTGGCGTATCAACAGTTTAATTTCCTTAACTTGGCTTTGTTTTTTGTGTAAGTCAGCTAAAAAATTAATTGAGATAATATGATTAATATTTCACAAAGGATCAAAATGGGTTATGAAAATATGAGGAAGTTAGCAGAATTTGGGAAAAGGCTGGGATTGAGTAAATGTAAGCACAGTTAGGCATCTTCCAGATAAGATAAGAATAGATAGAATAGATTGGTTTGATTTATAGATTGACGTGATGGTATGACTGATTGATTTCCCCTTTTATTAATTGACTAGACTTATTGATTGATTAAAAGATTGAATTGACTAGCAACTAACATAATTGATTGACTCATAAATAGAATGATTTACTTAGTAATTAGATGACTGAATGATTGAGTGACTGATCATTGATTGATTATTATTGATTGAATGGATGATTGCTGGGTTCTTTGCTTGCTTTATTTACTGGTTGATTGACTAGCACATCCTTTGATTGACTGACATTTTGAATGACAGACTGACTGCTTGAGCGAATGTTTGATGGATTGTATTTCTTCAATCATTGACTATTATTGATGACTTGATTGAATGATTGATTGACTAACTCACTGGCTGATAGCTGGACTTCCTGTTTGCTTATCTTTTACTTATCTCTAATTAATTTCCTCTGAGCTTTTGCTGTAGAGGCAGCATTTTCTCACAGTTTCGCATCCTCTGTCATTCAGTCCACTTGCAACAATTTAGTGTCCCAGCACAATGGCCGCATAATCTATCAAAACAATTGGGTAAATGTCGCGACGTTAGCCAAACAAAGCCTAATGTTGGCTTTAATTCGATGCGGTAGTCGCAATTGAAATTGCAATACGAATTCAGTTGTCTTCGCCGACGATTGTTGCTGCTGCTGCTGTTGCTGCTGCTGCTGCTGTTGCTGCTGCTGCTGCACTCGCTGAGGCTGTCATCGCTGCTGTCGTGTCCAAGACGTTGACATAATAAATAGCTGCAGAAATTAATTAAATGCAAATTGCTAAATCACATAATCATATCATATGGCAGCTATAAGTCTGCCTCAACGAACTGTGTGCGTGTGTGTGTGTGTTCGTGTGACTGTTGCAATACACGGAAAGGAAAATCGGAGCCTGTGAATGCATCGAGAGACAATTTTCCAATTGAATTGAAATCAGTGACTCGCCGTAGCTGTGGCTCTGCTCTAATTATGTGAGCGTTAATCAAAATATTTATGGCTGCAGAAAATCTTGAAAGCATTTTAATTCGCATGTGAATTGCAAATGCTACACACACACACACACACACACACACACACACATACTTGCACTTGAGGAAGAAACGTTGGCGACAATTCAACTCGTTTCTCATTTCCCTGGCGACTTCCTTGGCAACATTTTGGCTCCTGCAGTGGCGGCTTTAAAGTATGGCCGGCCCGATGATTTCCTACAACGAAATGCGCTTTACGAGAGTGCCGAGAGCGATGCCGCAGTTCAAAGTAGGTTAAACACTTTTACCTTATTTTGCCAAACTGGCTGCTTGGCTAATTGACGTCATTTTTGGCAGCAGTCGCCGGAGACCCAGCAGCAGCTGTGAATGCACGCTTGTTATTTTCTTTTATATTTCACTTATCTTTCTTCTACTACATTTTTATTTTTTCCTGCTGGCTGGCAACCCCCAACGTTTGACAATTAACAACTTTTCAAGCGCGCTCCAAACCGGATATTATGAAATTGACCAGTTGGTTTTTTTTTCTTCGGTTTTTTCTTTTTTGGTCATATCAAGATTATAAAATTGGTAAATTTATGCAACCGGTGCAAACTCGATTCGCCACGGCTCGTCTAATCAAGTTGTCAGGCGTCGTCGACACATTTCTGGCAAATAAATTTTTGGCCAAAACGAACGATTTCTAGTGGTCGCGTGCAGGGACGAAACCCGTTCAATGTTAAGTTGAAGTGCAGCAGCAACAGTTGCAACCGCAGCAGCAGCCACAGTCTTTACGCAGCTCACAGTGCGTATACGTGACGTGCTTACGTTACGTAGCCTTTGCAACGCTTCAGATCAGAAAGAAAACCAACTTTCACAGTCTCTGCGCTGGGCGCATTTTGCAATTGGCTGATTTAATAATGAAAGCAAATGGTAGAAAATATATATAATGGTATAAAATATATATATAAAGCGATTACCTCAGCGGTCTGCCAGCAATTAGTTAATGACCAAATATGTATGCCAAATAATGCAGCAGCGCAACGAATGTGGCTGTAATTTAATTAACATACAATAAAACACTCGAATGCATATGAAAGTAAGCAACAATGCAACCACCAACCGGCAGGCAGCACCACATGCCACGTGCTTTTCCATGCCACTCCCGATGCCCCGTTCCCTAAAATCGAATTGAACATTTGTGGGCCTAGAAAATAAAATAAAAATAATTTCAGTTTTAAATAATATTTCATAATTATAAATTAAATAAAATGAATAAAAAATGAAAAAATATAAAATCAATAAAGAGATCTAATGAAATAAACAATAATGCAAATAAGTGATAACAATAATTAATAAAATGCTAAAATTTAATATATAGAGACTTAACCAAAAATGTAAAAAAAAATAAATAAATAAAAAAAATATTTCCCCCAAAAAATTAAAAAATTAAGATATATACATATATGTATATAAGGAAAAAGAGGAACACATTTTAATATTTAATATATAAATAATATATTTTTTATTAATTAATTTCATTTAATATATAAATTTTAGGCAACATCAAAACTGTTTTATTAAAAATAAAAATATATTGATATATATATTTTTTTTGAATTTTAATATAATAAACTTTTTTTAATTTAATTTTTAATGTTTAAAAAAATCACATAATATTAATAAGTAAACTTTAGTTTTTAAATGGGAAACTTTTTTTTAGAAGTCAATGACATAAATAAATTTTTTTATTAGGGTGTACAAAAATGCTAAAAATATTAAAATTTTTCCAACTAAAATTTGCTGCTAACAATATAAACAATTCTTTTACAACTTTCAAAGCCTCTTTTTATTCTAGCAACTCTTACTACAAATATCTAAAATTTACTATTTAACTACATATATTTATTTATACATCTATGGGATATAACCGAAATCTATCTAATAAGCATTAAAACTAAGCATTAGCATGGATATGGTTAGCTCTTCATAATTAGGCAGCCATCAATCATTCATTAGTTTGCTGTGAGTGTAGCCAAAGCATTTATAAATCATTTCTCCGCAATAAAAGTGAATGCACGACGGACAACAATAATAAATGTGCACTGCGAAGAAAAAGAAACCCAATCATAAAAATGTTAAATGTAAAATGTGAAATGTATAAATATCGAGTAAAACTTGTTGTTGGCCATATTGCATAAACTGAAGACCAATTCGGAGATAACGTTCAAGACGGGCGCGGCGTGTCGTGCGTGCTGCAAAATTGCAATAAAAAGAAGAAAGAGAAGAAGAGAAACAATACAATAAATCAGCTTAAATATGCATGAGGCGAAGCAAGAAAAACTGCGAAAATGTGAGAAAATTAAAAATGCATTGGCCATTTCCTTCCGTTCGAACGCACTGACTGGCATTACTTGTCTTCCTGATGCTAACGACGATGCTAATGCAAATTGAGGCATCAGCTGATGCAAAGCCGCCAGCCATGAGGCACACTTCAAAGGCGGCGCAGGCGCAGATGCCAGCCAGTGCGCCAGCCAAAACCCGGAAGATAAATGCAAGAAGTTATATACATAGAGTGAGAGAGACAGAGAGAGAGAGAGATAGACAGATAGATGCATGTATATGTATGTCAGTGTGTCTGTCTTATGTAGTCGAGTGTAAATTGAAGCCTTTGCGATTGTTTGCTTTAATCGCATTCTTGTGGAATGCTCTACTTATGCAAAGTAAAACTCGCTTCGAAAAATTGTTTTTTGTTGTAGTTGTTGTTTGAAAAAGTGAAAGATCTAGTGCCGGCTCGCTTACCTAATGCTTATTAGACGCTGCAAAGGGGCGTGTCGGCAATGCTGTTGGCGCTACAGTGGAGCAGCCACATTTATGATACATTTTCAGCTGCTTTTGCTCAGGCTTGGCTCAAATTTGGTAAATGCTCAAGAAACTCGCGACGATTCGCCTGAATGATTCGCTGGTACCAGCTGCTTGCATTGGACCCATCATTCACTATCAGTGGCTGGGGCGTGGGCAATGTGGTGCTAGAGTCAACAGCAGCAGCAGCTGTGGTTGCTGCCGTCTGCGGCGCCTTCTCATCGTTATTGGTCTTGGCTTTGTTGTATTTGCTCTGGCTCGGGCCCAGCAGCTGTTCGGCTGGCAGCTCGAACGGCACCAGAGGCAGATCCTCGTCGATGAAGTTGTGCAACGTCTCAAAGGCCAAACTGCCATTGGGCTGGCTTACTAGGGGTGCCTTGCCATTGATGATGTCGAGCACAGCTGGCTGCAGCACATCCTGTTCGACATTGATGTGATTCAAGTCCAGGCCATGCTGCTCCTTTAGCTGCTTGGCCACCTCATGCTGCACTTGATCCACGCTCACATTCAAATGACTTTTCGCATCCCAGCTCACATTTGCAGCCGGCTGCATCACGTGCTGTGTCTTGAATATATCCGGACGCTTGGTTGGCCAAACGGCGTCCATTGGCTCATCGCCCGGTGCATAGCTCTGGGATTGTGCCAAATAGCCGCTGTCCCCATCAGCTCTGTAGCGCGTCACCTGGATGAGGCCATCGGGTCGCACGTACCCATAGCTGCCCTCAATGCTGCCATTCAAATAGCGTCGCTCATCCCGGAATTGTATATTGCCAGACGCTGCATCCTCCAGCTCATAACCAAAGGCATAGGTATTGGGTCCTGCATGGGATACTCTGTAAAAACTCCATTCTCCTTACTCTATGCATAGCCTACCGTATGGATCGTGCAAGAAATAGTTGCTTAGTTTGCTCTGCTCGCCTGGATTTTCCGCTGCTGTCTTCTCGTATGCTGCATTTCCATTTGCCACTGGCGTGGCCAACGCGGCGTATACTTTTGCGATCAGCAACTGTTAGAGAGAGTAAATCTTAGTGCATACTTTTCGGCTAGTAAGCGGGATCTGTAAGCTTGAACTAGCTGGAAAGCTTTGAGTGGATTTGATAGTGAATAAGTTTTTCTCTTTGGGAAATGTCTCGGATTGGAAAGAGTGAACGGCAATCGATGGCTTTTATAAAGTGTATAATGCATAATTTTGGGCTGATATTTGTAAAGGAGGCCTTTGTATCAATAGATAGATTATCTATGGTAATATCTTAATTAAACTAAACGTATATTGTTGTCTTTCTCTCCTTTATATCATCTCTCCTGAATATCATTTATCTGATTGCCTTCTTAACATTCATAGAGTATATTCCAGTTCCTTAATACAAGTAAGCTTGACAGGCTAGAAGAAAAAGTAGTAATACTACATTTTAGGCCTCTGATTTTTACACTCATAGAGAATGACGAATGCTGCTGAATAACTTTCATTGTTTAAGCCAATTGAACCAGTTAAAACCTAATTAAAGATATAGAATTGCGGCAGAAAAAAACTATTCTAATTTTGAGCCAATGACTTGGCCAATTTCAATTTCAGTTCATTGCTATCTAGGTATACCAAATACCAGTTAAAAGAACTAGTAAATAGTAGACAGCTCAAAAATAGTTTTTCCACTACTATAATAAATATTTAACCAACTTTAGCCAGATTTCCCTTACTTTATGAATATTGTATCTCATATTTATTTCCCCGTCTTTACGCATGTCATCATCACAAATAAAATCAATTTCTCATAAAATATTCACGCACTTACAAAGAACCAAAACCGATAAATATTTGATAGAATTGCCATTGTGAATTCTAATGAGCTGCAAATCACATTTGTTGAGAGCTTCACTCGCTTTGCTTTGGTTACTTCTATATAGACGTTGCGCGCACTTTCAATGGCAAAATCCAACTGAAGACTGAATCGGCAAACAGCCGAAACATAATTGAGCCAGTCCAGAGCTCAATTAGAAAGAGAATGTGAATGTGCTAAATATATTTCAGCGGGCTCATTCAAATTAATTTGCTGAAAAAGAAGCTGAGAAAGAGAAGTAAATTGAAAAATAATTTTTTCTAATATGCTAAACAAACTTGACCTCTGTAGATGTTAAACTGATTAAAAATATTTATAAATGTAAACTTTATTATTTTGTTTAATAAAAAAAAAAAAATATTGACGAATATTCTAAATGATCTTAAGTTATATAAATGTTATATAAAAATTCTTTAAAAATGTTTTTATTTTTTTTTTATTTTATTATGCTTAATTTTTAAAGTGTATCCAAAATTATTTTGAGTTAAATTCTTATTAGATTTTTATATAAATTAGAACTTTCCTCGTAGCTGCAAATGCTAAGATTTTTAATTAAAAATTCGTATTGTATGATTTTTTTTTTCAATTCGATTTTTATTCATTTTTTTGTAGTTTTCTATTAATACATTTTTTTTTAAAATTTGATAATAATGTGTAATTATTTTTTTTTGTTTTTTTTTCTGCATTTTGTTGTCGTGTTTATCTAGAAATTTGCGTTTGCTGTATAAAATAATTACTCAATGTACTTTGAGCGTGAGAGACATGTGAGAGTTTTGTTTGTTTCTTCCTCTTCGATCAACAGAGACAACACTTAATGATTTTTGTTTGTTTTTTTTTTTTTGTGATTTTTCGTTTAACATTTATATACATATAGATTGGTATTATAATTAAGCGGCATAAATTGTTTATAAATATACAATACACACAAATACTAAATGCAAACAAATGAAACTAGATACAAAAGTGTCAGACTGAGTGAGTGAGTGAGTGAGATAGTTTTGAGAGCGTTGAATAATAACAAAAGAGAATGTGGGTGAGAGAGAGTGAGAGAGAGCGAGAGCGAGATAGATTAAGAGATTATGAGACAGTTGAGACAGTGAGTGAGAGACAGTGAGTGAATGTGGCTCAGAGATTTTGATAATAGAATCGGATCTAACTGAAATGGAATGAAACAAAAATATGCACGGGGGCCAACTACACAGTGCTTGCCAAACTGTGCGCCAATTGAAATGGCACAAAATGCTTCCATTTGCTTAAATATTAAGCAAACAATGCGAAGCTGGGTGTTGGGCATAACAGTTCTTCGCTTGGGCACAGGATCAGGCATCGAAAGGATGTAGAGCGAGAGAGAGAGAGAGAGAGTTATAGAGAGAGAAAAAGAGAAAGAGTTGCATAAATATATTACAAAAGTGTAGAGCATTGAAAATGAAAATTGAGTAAACTAGTTTCGTGATAGAGAAACCATGGGGGAGTTCTAAAAGTTCGGATCGGACGATGCTTTCGCTTTGCACTTGTGTTTGGTTAGCTTCGCTGGCCTCGGTGCTGTTAAATGTTTAAACATAATATGAAACATTGATTAATATACAAATTATGCAAGTAAATATATATATATATGTATTTATATATATATCCATGTGGAAAAACTTTGTGTACTGTGATCTCTGCTGCTGCCGTTGCTGCTTCAGTTAACGCTTTCTATCAAACATTATCAACATTATCGTTCGCCAACATCATTCTCATTATCATCATCATCATCATTGTCATGCAAGATCAAGTCAATATGCTTTTGTTTATGTTTTTTCGCTTTTTGTTTTTGTTTTTTGTTTCCTTTTTTATTCTTGTTCGTATTTCCTTCGTCCATGCCATGCCAGATCAGCCGGGTGCCGGGCACCCACTAAGGCGCCCGTTTCTACTAAAAACTTCTTAGCTACATTTTACTTACATACAACGTGGTTTTTTCTTATATCTGCTGTTTCTTTTCTTTTCTTTTCTGTTCATTCTTGTTTCAATGGATCTGTTTTATCTGCCTGTTGTTCCTATATTGATTCTTATTGTTGCTGTGTGGGTGAGTTGTGGCTGTGTGGTTGAGTGTGTGTGGGAGCACCTTTATGACTCGACGACTCCACGGAATTTAGTAATGGTGCAGCAGAGGGCCATGCGACAGCACGGGGGCGTGCACAATGGGCGCATGTGCGATGATCTTGGGCGCGGTCTTGTGGACGACGGCATTGAAACCGTTGTGGTCATCGGCGGTGTAGTCCACGGTGCGCACAGAGCCATCGGGCTCGACCAGCGAGTATTGACCTAGTTGCAATTAAAAGATAGATTAGACCATGTCAAGTTTGTTGCTCAAGTCTTTTGTTTGCCATCAAGTTTGTGTCCTAAGTCATTGTGTTCTGTTTGGGTCTATTGCTCGTGCTTACCCTTCACAACATCACCATCACGCTCCTCAGCCTGAGACTTGATGTCGCCAGTATGGGGATCCTTGATGCCATAGTTGAAGGAGTATTTGGGATAGGCCACGGGCTCGGCATGCACCGCATGGGCCAGCACGGGCGCATGATGCACCTGCACCAGCGACGGACCATAGTGACCCAGCTCAATGGGCACAGCCTGGACGGCGGCGAACAGCAGAGCGATGGCAGCAAAGTACTGTATGTAGAAGAGGCAGAGGAGAAATGAATCCTTGCACACAATTTGACTTTGCATAATTTTTTTTATTTATTTATTTTTGTTTTTGTTTTTTTCATCATTTGTCGTACCTTCATGTTGTTTCTATTGAGCACAGACAACGACACGCGACGCGAACAAGTAAGGACGAAGGATTCGTAGCAAAATATCAAACTGAACTGGCACAACTTTTGCTAGAGTGTGTGTTGAAGCACGGCTTAGACGCTTTGGAGGACCGTTTGTAGCACGAAATCGTAAGCTGAACTGATGTCTGCAACGATGACCAAAAGTATTTATATACGCGCGCAGGCGATGCCAGCGAATAGCAATGACGACGACGGTGACGACGACAATGAAGTCGACGCCAGTAACGAGTTGCAGCTGCTGCTTTGAGTAGTAGAGGCGGTGCAGGAGGTGAGGCAGCGGGTGGGCAACGTAGCTACAGACAGAGTCATAGAGACCACGCATGTGCCGGCAGAGTCCGATGCTGCTGCTGCTGCAGTTGTTGCTGCTGCTGCAGTTGCTGTTGCTGCTGCTGCTGTTGCTGCTGCTGCTGCTGGGTGCGGCAATTGCTTGGGCCATGAAGGCGTTGCTAGCTTTTGTGACTTGGTTTTCGGCAGTTGAATGTGTATCTGTTAAGGACAGATAATGCAGCAATTGAAAGTGACACTTAAGAGCTGCTACTACGCTTGTTGCTGATGTTGTTGTTATTGTTGCTGCTAAAGCCAAAGCTGTTTTTTTATTGATCGGTTGCGGTAATTACGACTCACAGTCGGAGGCTGTTTTAATAGCTCCAATAGACGCTGGTCTCTCCAAATAGTATTACCATATCTGTGGCGGCGTTATAATTACCAAAGCAACAGCAACAGCAACAACAGCAACAAAGACTGCAACAGCAACAACATATTTGACGCAATTACTTGTCACAGAACTTTTTGTGCGTGTGTGTGTTTGTGTTGCATGCGTTTGTGCCTCAGGAATTTCGATATTGGCAAATGCTCGCATATTTTGGTTTTACTCTTTACATTTTATGCTGATTTCACGTTGCTGCTGTTGTTGTTGTTGTTGTTGTTGCTGCTGCTGTTGTCGCACGCATATCAAACACCGCTCGTTGTCAATCAACATTTCATGTGTAGCTATTTAAATTGCCTTTTCTTTGTATAGTATTTCAAGTTTTTCCTGCGCCATATTCATAATAATGCAACAGTTACAAAATAATGTAGCTTAGTATTTTTTTCCCTCTCTTAAATGCCAAATGGGACGAGGTCAAAGCATGATCAAAATCATATCAAGCCATTGAATCAGTTAAGTTTTAACAGAGTTATGGCTAGTTAAAGTCAACCAAGGGCTGCTCTTATAACTGTAATAACTCTGGCAATGAAAAATAAAATCTTTTAATTCCACTGTGAATGTATTTGGAAACTCTGGTAAAAATAGTACAGTTATTATAAGAGCAATAATTTCGTGTTAAATTTTTACAGAAAATTTAGTATATAATTATATAAGTATATATTAATATTAGATAATATTCTAATATTGACTTTTATAAATTTTTTATAATTAAAATTTATATATAAAATTCAGCCAACAATTTCCTTTATAAATAATAATTAAGGTAGGCAAAATAGTAGTATAATATGGAATATATACCTTAGGTAACGGCCCAAAAGCAATAAGATATACATAGCTTGTAATTCTGCGCCTAATGAGGGGCGTGGCAAATCAAAAAACTGTATTTTCTACAGTGTTAAAGCCAAAACTTCAAAATTTAACGACTAAATTACTGTTGACACGCTCCATTAATTATATTGAGGGCGTGGCAAATCGATAAGTGGACAGCGTTTGGGCCGCAGATGAGTACTCTGCAGTCGATAATGCCCGACTGCAATGTTCTTGCTAGTTTTTTCTACAAAATAAAATTAAATTTAAAAAAAGTAATATTAATAAAAAAAATAAAAAGGTAATGAGGTTTATAAAATTAAAGAAAAATGTTTAATATATATTTTTTAAAATATAAAATAAATATTTTTATATACTTTAACAAATATAAAATAAATATAAAAATATATTTTCAGTAAAAAAAATTAATTCGGCGATTAAATTCTTATGCCCAAGTCAACATCAATATTCCAGCTGAAATGATTTATTGAGGCAAATGAAAATCGAAGTACAGGGTAGCTTACATTCGGCTTACGAACTGCAAAGCCTTGCAACTCGTTTAATCAATAAGTCGTCAAGCGTCGCTAATCTGGGCAGTAATTAAATTTAATCAATATAATTATTGAGTTGAGTTGACCAAGCGGGACAGACTCACAAATCGCGCCTTGGCGCCTTCTATTTAGCTTCGTGCGAACTATCGCATCGACATATCGAACTTGCTCAATTCGTTTAGCCACATGGGGCGTTCAGTTATCCATGCCTAGACTGTCAAAGTTTGGACACGCTGACTCGAATTTTCTTGCAACGCCCACGACAAAGCAAAAAAAGTATAATAAATAAATAAAATCAACTTTGCCGTAGAGCAGCACGAAAATGTTCTTGCATGACATATCAGAAAATTATTATTATATCTTCTGGCTGAAAGAGCACACAAGTGGTCGGCCACATGTGCTGGCTACGATGGGAAAATTTCAGCAAAGACGTGGCTAAGAGAACTCCACTAAGCGCTCAATTGGTGGCTGGTGGAAGGCAAAACAGAATCGACTTACATAAAGTGACTTTAAAGGCGACACATTTACCGAAAGCAGCAAAAAAGCAACAACAAAAAAAAAAAACATTTCAAACAATTGTAGGCAAACAACAACAACAACAACAATGCAGCTGATGCTGAGCCAGAGGCTAAGCAAACAAGTTGGCCACGTCACGATCGCGATCGCACTTGAAGAGCAAACCTGTGGGGGAGCACGAGGAGAAGGTGGATGATGAAGAGCGAGCGGTGAGTTGAGGGGAAGCGAGTTTGATTTGGAGCCTTTGGAGTTTAGTTGGTTAGTTGGTCAGCAGCTGAACAGAGTGGAGCACGCTTTGTCTTTGTGTGTGTTTGTCTAGCGATTGCGCAACAAATGCTGCGGCACAGTTTGGGAGTCATTGCATTGCATTGTTCGCAACGCTGCGGGGGCGAGACACTCGATGACTGCGTTAATTGCGGCACCTGCGCTACTCAAACCCAACTGTCGACGCATGCCACAAATATGCTGGCATTCAAATTTCATACAGCTGGATCTCAGGCCACGTCTCGAACGTCACGCGCTAAGTAGAACAAAGTTTTAATCTTGATTTATGCGCTGCAGTGCAAAAATATTTGGACAATGGTTCGATTGCCTTTTTGCAGTCGGTTCTCGCTGAACATTTAAACGCACTTTGCATTGATTTTAATGACTTGTCTGTCTGTCTACGCTATGCACTGACATTGATTTATCTGCATTCATGCAAATGGTCAGCTTTTAGAAAGGCCATCAAAGTCATATCGCCCAAATGTAATTCGAGTTGGCAGTTAAATCTATCTTTTTTTTCCTTTTTTTTCTCGTTGCACTACACTGCGTATGGGTAATGTGGCATTTCCTCTCAGCCGCTGCTGGCAATTATTGTACATCCGTTGCATTTTCACTAGAGCTGCGTTTCCTTAAGGAAGCTCGCTATTCAATTTCAATTTCCCAAATGTAATGTAAGACTCTGTCAACAAAAGGGCTTGTTACACATGTTCCCAGAGCGTGAAATGCTGAAATTGCATCAAATTGTGGTTGGCAAAAAAAAAAAAAAAAAAAAAAAGAATGAATAAAAATGGTAAAAAGAGGTTAAAAATAAATGAAAAAGAGGTTTATAAAAATAAATATAAATTTAATGAAATATTTTTTCATTTAAATTATATAAAAAATTCAATTTAAAAAAATTTTTTTTTTAATATAATCTATTTTTATTTTTTATAAAATATTCAAATATATTCAATTAAAAAAAAAAAAAAATTTGGTTGATATATTATTTCAAAGTTTCGTTATTAAATCTGCATGGATTGCACACATAAATTGCGCCAGCAGAGCTGCCCACGTATTTTCGTGTGCTTCTGCCCTATCCGATTGCATCTGCGTCTAATTAAAACATTTTCGCTGGCAGCATTCTTGCACGTCTGGCCGAACGCATGCTGTCCAGTTTTGGAGGCAGCGCGTCATTCTAAGCGGCACGCCATAAATCTTCATCTGGCTGGCGCAATGCGCTGGCACCACTCTTGGGATGCTATTAGCGCGAGATGCCGTTGGCCAGTGGCCGTTGGCTGTTGGCGGACTATTTGGTTGGCCAAAATACAATAATAAGGCGCTTGCTTGTCAATTAGGCACACACGAAGCCCAGCCAAATGCCAAACGGCTGCCAGCCCAATTGTGTCGCCAACTCAATTGTGAGATAAACTAACTGCATTTGGTCACGCTGCCAGGTGCTCAGCTGCTCAGCTGCTCAGCTACTCAACTGCTCCACTGCTCCACTACTCCTCCTGTTCAACTCGTCTTGCTCCTCCTCCTTCTGCTACACCTGTTGCATCTGTTGAACGGTTGGTCAGTTGGTTAGTGCCATTTCGGCCGACATTACCGCATACAAAAGTCGTTTGATCCAATTTCTGTGTTTGCATTGCGTCTCTCCTCCAATTTCTGCTCTTAAAAAATGTTCGCACATTTAATGCGATTTTGCGCATTTGCGCGTATGAATTAAGCGAGTGACGAAATGGACTCTGCGCTGGCTCGGCTGCCAAGTGGAGCACATACGATGCCCAGTTGCAGCAATTGCCGATTGCTGCTGCTGCTGCTGCTGCGGCGGCTGCTGCTGCGGCGGCTGCTGCGACGGCTGCTGCGCCTGATTGATTCCGATCGAACGCAACGGCAACGCACACGCTTCACTGCCACCAACAGCTGCAGCTGCAGCAGTCGCTCTTTGGTCAGCTTGGTTGGATTACGCAAAGCCATTCCCAGCGGCAACAAAGTAGTCTGACACATATATCAATTAGCTTTTAGATTATAAAAAAAAGCAACCGAATATATTTGCTCATGTAAGTTTGTTTGTTTAGTATCTAAAACAAAAATACCATTAATATTTATCGAATCAAATCTAATCAATAATCAACATGCCGTAATTTATAGGTTAGAATTAATTTTTTGTATTTTTAGTATTTTTGTTAGTATATTTTTGGTATTTTCCAGGTATTTGATTTTTGCATATTTTTGGGTGGTTGCTTTTAATTAATGTTGGCATTTTGTTGTATGTATTTTTAATTCATAATTGACTTCTCGGTATATTTATTATTGATAATTGGTATAATTTTGCTTTCAGTGTATGTTTAGGTATTTTTATTGGTAATTCGTTTTGGTATATTTTTGTTTTGTTAGTAGGTTTGTATATCTTTTTAGTATATTTTAGGCAGGTAAGGTATTTAAGGTATTTTAGGCAGCTTAAAGAGATTACTAAATTGCAGTGTCTGATGTGTTTCTAAGAATATGAAAACCAAAAGGTGTTGCCTTTACAAATGAATTTTTTGTATTTTTCGGTATTTTCGGTATTTTTTGGTATTTTTTATGTCTTACCAAAGCAGTAAAATAATGCAAATTATATTTATTTAATCTAGCTGCTTAAAATGCCAAATAAATTCTGTTCGTAACCTTTACTATTTTAAAGTATTTTTATTGGTATATTCCGCCGTCTACTCAGCTGCAAACCTACAAAATACCAATGGATGTGAGCATTGGAGATGATTCATTTTAAATTTCTTCATATATCACACAGAAAACTTAGTAGTAACAAAGCTTAGTCTATTTTTTGCGATAATTTGTAACAAGTTAAATACCACAAAAATACCAAGTATTCTAATACTCATCGCTGTCATCCTCCTCCTGCTGCTTACTCTGCGTGTGGGCATCCTCGTAGCCCTCTTCGCTGCTGCCTTCGTATTCCTCATGATCGCCGCCGCCTTCATTGTCGCCCTCTTCCTCCTCCTCCCCACCTTCGTCTCCCTCGTCGCCATGATGCTCATGCACTTTATATTGACCTTTGGCAGGTTTCTTATGCTGTCGCTGTGGCTCTTCCTCCTCTTCCTCTTCAGCGCCGGCCTCGTCTGCCTCATCATCCACCTCGTTGTCGTGCTCATGCTCCACCTGCTGCTCCACATGAGCTGGCCCACCCGCCTCGCTGCCATGGCCATGCAGCGTGGCCACGCCATTGGTAATCACCTCCGCCTGGAAGCCGTTCGCATCGTCCGCCGTGTACTTGACCACGCGCAGTGTGCCATCAGGATCGACTACGCTGCGTGTTGGCGACGTTAATGATAATGCGTTGACATGCCAGACATAGCTGGCAACTGGACAACCTACCTGTACACGCCGCGCACCTCGTCCCCGTTGCGCGTCTCTTTGCGATTCTGCAGCACGCGCGCCTCGCCGTCTTCGATGCCATAGGCGAAGCTATATTCGGGTCGTGCCACATAATCCGAGTGCGTGCCGCCGCCATAGTCATCATGCACGGTGACCAGACGCTCCGGCCCCGCCACCGGACCCTCGAATCTCGCATACGAATAGCCCACAGCGGAGCAGCAGCCGCCGAGCGAGCAGATGATCACCAGAGCCAAAAGCAGATGAACTGGCAGCCCCAACAACTGCCGTTTGACGCGTGCCAACGCAGTCGACGTAATGCGGAAGCTTAAACAACAACTGTCAAATGTTGTTGTTGTTGTCCAAGTTGTTGTTGTTGCTTTTGGTTGTTTGCTTGTGCGTTGTCGCTTCTTCATTGCAGTTTTCTGTTGATTGAATTTCGATGTTTCTGTCTCTCCTTCACTTCGTCTCTATCTCTCTCTCTCTTTTTGATTTGCACGCGCGTCTCGCAGCTGATTTAATCCACGCGTTTCTCTAAATACTAAGCGTGAAATATGGCACTTCTTGGCTATTTATATACTGGCCCAATCACTGGCGAAAGGTTCAGCCTGTCTGTCACCACAAATCAATTTTTTTCTTCGCCTTATTTGCATATTTCCGCACAAATTATGCGCTTCAATGGCCAGCCGCATCCAAGTGGAACTGGCCAACCGAGACGCCTCTGTTGCTGTGGTCTCCATTTGCCCACTTGATGGCCAGCCAAATTGCAAACTTCCTAAAAGCACGTCACCGAGTGACGTCATCAATGAAAGAGAATTGTTTAGGTAATGGGGTTTGGTATTTCAAGATTGGCCTGAGTTGGTCAAGAGGCTAAAATCAAGGGCCATATCATGGGGGTGTCAAGTGTGATTGCATTGATAAATGATTTGGCTATGGAGCACCTGAGTTGAGATCGGTCCAGAGAAGGTAAATATATTCTATATGTTTTCATGTTCTACATGTCCTTTATGCTCTAGAGGCTCTAGATGCTCTATATGTTCTATAATTTCTATATGATCTATATGCTCTAGGTGTTCTGTATATGCTACAAATTCTATATATTGCATATATTTTCTATATTTTATATTCTTAAATTCGATGTATTCCTCATATTATATTCTATGTAATTTATGTATTCTATGTATTCAATATATTTTAAATATTTTATAGATTTTATTCCATATATTTTATATAAATTAGAGAAACGCTCACTCTGGCTTGCTCTGTAGCTTCTGCTTGAAGTTCGTGCTTCCCATATTAGTATGAAACGGCTCAGTCCTTGCTAAATACATACGTGCCTCCATCAAATACATATCTGACTTTCTTAAAGTAGCAATACAACTCGCATTAAAGCTCTGCTACTTTTCTCTTCAATTTATAACCTACCTCAACTCTATGAGAGATATTTAATAGCAGTTTGCACTCGGTGCATAAAATTTTACAACTGACGGTCAAGAGCAGGTAATCTAATAAAAAATTTAAGTAATACTCGCTTCACTTTAGGTTTGTTTATCACACTTTTCAGCAGTTTGCTCTACTTTACGACTCTATTGAAGTCAGCATCGACTTCGTTGGGTAATTTGATAGCTTGCAAGAGTAGGTCACATTGCACTTCTTCGGGCAGTAGATCACGTAGGCAGCCGCAATAGCTTAGCCGATGAGGTAGAGGTAAAGATAGTTGACTAAGTATTCTATCATATGAAAAGTGTGGGCTAGCAGACTATGTACTTGTCTTAGCTCGACTCGGATATGATCAAGTGTTCATAAGGTGCGTTGCTACCCAGTTCGTTGCTTAAGTCTTGCATGGCGCCTACTTCAATATAGTATAAATACTCATATAAATAAGTATATAAATAACAATAAATGCCTAATTTGGTTTAGCATACATACATTTATATATGTATATATGTCACATATTTAACTCGCATTTCTAGAGAACACTTGAACACTTGAGAACACCCCAACAAGTCTCCCGCTTGCTATAGCCATACTATTATCATCTGACCGACTACTACTCGAAATGATTATACATATTATATATAATATTCTTATAATCAAGACCAGCTCTAGTCCCGCTCTTCCTATAACTAAATAGCTGTCCTATTATCATCTGTCAGACTGCTGCAACTCGAAAAGATTTCCGCCTTAAAAAACAAATTTCGTCTGCACTTATACAATTATTATATGCATATTTCTTATTTATATCTAATATTTGAGCATTGCGAATTTAAAGCTCATTAATTGCTTTGCATGCTTGCACAAAGTTTTTTATTCATTTTTTTTTTTTTTTTGCCTTTTCATTTGCTTGTTAAGCTCATCTCATAATTTCAAGTGTTGCTGACCAATTTGGCTAAGAGGCTTGGGCACACCTGTTCACACACACAGAGACACACACAGATAGAGATATATGTATACCTTCCCCTTGGACATGGAAATCGCTTTAAGTGCGTTCAGCTGATTAGCTGCAGCACTTGAAGCTGTAGGCGATGCTTATAATGCTTGCTTATAGATCGAACAGTTCGAGTCATGATAATCTAGCAAAAAGCAAACGCAGCTGCAATTTTATTGTTGTTGTTGTAGTTGTGGCTGCTACGACTGCTGCTGCTGTTGTTGGTGCAGCTTTGACCTTTTTTTGTATGAGGGTTCTGCCAAAGAAATATGGCTATTATTTTGACTACTTCTAATTTATAAGCGAGTCGCATTGTTGCCTGCTGGCCGACTGGCTGCCTGCAACTGTTGTTTGGCATGAAAAATGCATATATCATTGGCCTCTGGTACTTGACGGCTGTTTGTTTGGGCTTTAAAAAAAAGCAAAAAAAAAAAAAAAAAAAAATCACGAGTGCACACACAGTAGCCCAGACAGCCGGGCAGGCGAGCCAAGCAGTCAGCCGGTCATCGTGGGAAAACTTGTTGTTGTTGGCCGATGAGGAGTCGCTTAATTACCCATTACACAAATGCTGTTTGGGCCGCTTGGGCCGGTGCTGGCTGCAAGAATCGCTCAATGCTCATCTTTCATCGCAATTGCAAATTCGCAAGTTTTTTATGTGAGTCGTAATTAAGACGCCAGCAGTTCGTTGCCTAAGTCTTTCGTTTTGTGCCCTTTAGCGGCCGAGTGGCACGCAGACCCGAATGAGCCAAATAATGTGCCATTGCATTATGACTTATGTTGCGGCGCCATGTTGCAATGCAAATCGTTGTCATTGCTGCTGTTGTTGTTGTTGCTGTTCGTCTGGCATGAGGGACAACAAACAGCAAGCAACAAACAACAAACAACAAACTGTGCAATCAAAGTCTATTAAAAGCAAAACTAAGCCACATGCCAAAAAATCATGTTTGCTGACCAAACTGCGAACGCGCTTCGCTCCAGTCAGCCATCCAGCCGGTCAGCCAGACAAAAGGCCTAAATAGTCAGCCAGACAACGAGTAGGAGTTTTGTGGAGGCCTGGCAGCAGCAGGAGGAGCAGGAGGAGTAGACAGAGTGTAGACAATGTCTGCCAGATTTCTTTCTTGCAATAAATTGCAATTTTTTTTTTCTTTTGCTCGCTGCGCTGCGCCGCTGCTTTGCTCTGTTTCTATCTCTAGTGATTATGTAAGTCGAACAACGTTCCAGTCTCACTCAACAACAAGCGAGCAACAGCTAAGAGCTAACGGCTAACAGCAAAGAGCTCACAGCGCACAGCTTCACCACATCTCGCATTGCCCAGTTTCCAGTTTCAATTCCCCCATTTTCACTATTAACTGCTCTGGCTTGTCTTTAGCTTTGATTTCATTTTCATTTGCCTCGTCAGCCTCTGGTCAGCTACAGCTACAGCTACAGCGCCAGTGATTGCAACAGCAGATAGACACACACACATATACATATATGTGTATATGTGAAAATGAAATTGAAATGCGAGTGCAAGTAAAAGCGGTTCCATTAGCCGCATGCTTCGACGGTTTTTATGTGTGTTCTACGTAAGCGAAATAATAGTATTTGAAAAATTTGAAGTTTTCAATTATTTAGTGCATTTTAAGCATATGATTGAATAAATTTGAATGAACCAACTAAAAGTTAGTTGAGAGAGTTGAGCTCATTCATAATGAATTCAGATTGAATTACCTAAAGACTTTCTGAAGCGGTTTATATACCGGGTAGTTAAAAGATGAGATGATGGTACGTACTAGAAAAATCTAGAACGAAGCCTAAACAAAAGACCAAGAGAGAGAGAGAGAGAGTGAGAGAGAGGGAGAGATGGACGTAGAGTGAGTGAGCGAGAGATCTAAGGAAAGGATTAGAGAAAAGAGTGCAGGGATAAAGCGAAGAAAAGAGAGAGAGAGAGAAAGGAATAAAAAGAAAGAGATAGGGAGAAAGATATTGAATATTAGAGACAGAGAGAGAGAGAGAGAGAGAGAGATCTATAGAGATCTTGATATCAATAGAAATATTATTTCATATCTTCTAGCGAGAGGTATGAAAAGAGATCTAATAAGAGTGCTCTAAACGAAGATATCTAGAGAGAAGGATCTAGATAAAGAGAGTGAGAGAGAGAGAGAGAGAGAGAGAGAGAGAGAGAGAGAAGAAAGAGAGAGAGAGGGTAATCTGGAGTAACATTGGGAGTCAGAAATAGAGAAAAGGGCAGCAACTCAAGGTCAAATTTGTGTCAGACAGAGATAGAGACAGCCTTAAACAGCTGCACGTTAAATGTATTTAATATTTATAATAATAACTCCAAAAATTCCCCAACCCAATAGCATAAAGTTGACATATCTCCCAAGATATCAAAATTCAAGCAAAGTAGATCTCTTTCAATATTTCTCAAAATGTCACTCAATGTAACTCAATGTCACAACGCATTGCGTGTGCAAAGCCATAGCTATTCATAGGCATGAACAGCAGCAATTGCTGCCGTTGCTGCCGGCGACTGCTTGCAACAGTTGCTGCTGTCAGCTGTGGCACAGCAGCAACATTTGTTGTCCAGTTCTGGTGAGCGTGTTACAATGTGCGAAAACAAATGCGCGTATTTCAATTTTGACAATGCACAAAATGCGTGTCACATAAATTGACGCAATGTGAGCCATGCACCGCTATCAAGTGCACCTACACACGCACACGCACACGCACACACGCACACACATGGAGTGAGTGATGTCGAGGTGCCAATTAAAGCGAGTCCACAAAAATGGAACAGAACCGGACTCAAACAGACGCGACGCGATTTAATGCGATACGATTTCGATTCTTGGCGGCATGTTTAATGCACCTTTGACATGCAACCAAGCCGAAGTCCATGCTGAGTCGGCATAGTTTACACACAACAACAACGTAAAGAGCAACAACGACAACTGCAGCGGGTTTTTTGTTTGTCGTTGTTCAATATAAAATAGTGCAGAAATTACGAAATTTGTCGTCTGACAAAAAGCGCTGCAAACGCTATAAATTAAATTTACAATTTTGGTGCTCATTAAACAGCGAGAGCAGATCGGCCAACAAATGTTTGTTGCGGAGGTGGGCAATGGGGGTATATTGGTTGGAGAGTGTCGATGAATCAAGAGGTGAAGACAAAAGAATGTTGAAAAGGAGGAGGAATTGAGTTGGGATCAGAGAAATGAAGAGGAAAAGAGAGATAAGTGATTAAGATAGATAAATATATGGGGAATTATATGCAAAGGGGCTGAAAAAGAGAAAACAACAGAAAGAGAGAAGAAAATTAGTGAGAAGTATGGAAAAATTCAGAGTGAGAAGTAAATCGGCAATAGATGGAAAATGGACGAATTTATAGACAGAGGCCGACCCTATGAGAAAAAAAAAAAAATGGAAAATATATAGGCAATGATAAAGAGGGAGAAAAAAAGGACAAAACGATATATCCCTTAAAATGAATATGCTCCAGTTACACAATCCAAAGCTTAGACTGAAACTCATGCTGAGTATGCTGCAGTCGTGCTTAGGCCAATTGAATTGGGCTCTTACCGAAATCGAGAACAGCAACGCCTTGGGATATAGCCAAAGTAAATGGCTTTAATTGTTGTCAATTTGGGGTCGCTTTAAGTCGGCTTTGCTTTTGTTATTTTTATGGCCGTTAAATTTTCTCGCGTCTGTCACAAATTGAATAATGTCTCAATTGAACAACAAGCGAGGCAGCAGCAGCAGCAGCAGTAACTGCAACAATTCAGACAACATCAACAACAACAACAGCAGCTCAAACAACATTGTTTGCAGTTGTTTGCAAAGTTCAGCTAATTATGAGCTCAGCAAAAAGCATTAAAAGCGACAAGAGATTTTTTGTATTAAAGTATTTAGGCAGAGTCTATTATATAATCGTGCAGTTTGATAAACTTATACGAGCATATATATATATATATATATATATATATATATGTATGTATATCCTGTCAGCTGTGGCGTTAGAAAGTGAAAGGCAAGCATGCAACGCCCACTTGGCACTTGGATACACACAAAGATACATGCATGTATATAACTATAACTCTATATATATGTATATAGTTAACTACAACTAGATTTTTATATAATTGTAACTATTTTCTGCCTTTTGACTAATTTGCCTGCGCTTGTTGTTGCCTAGCCAAAAACGAAAGACTTGAACAACGAACTGCAACGCCGAACTAAACTAAGCTTTAACCGGTAGCCAGAGTCAGAGCCAGAGCCAGCCTCTGGCTATCTGACAATCGCACCACTGACCAACATTCGACTCTCGCTGTGCAACAAACATATGCACACATATACATACATATATGTGTTTATATATGGGTCAGCTGGCATATGTCGTGCCACGTAGACATCTGATAAACTAGGCTGGCAAAATGCAATTTTAATTGCCAATCGTCAATAAATGCGAGAAAAGTTTGTCGCTGCAGAATTGTATATGTCCTGTGATAATCGACAAATCAGTTTGATATTGAAAGCTAATTTAATATGTGACCAGAAGTAGATTTCCTAGATATATTTGCCATGAATTACGCTCAACTATTTTATAAAGAGAATGAGTATATGATGAGATGATACAAATTATGAAAAAAAAAAGAAAATAAATAAAATAAAAATAAAAACAAGATACAAATTAAGCTGCAATCTACATATGTTGATTATATATTTTAGACACTATTTTTACGATATATGTATTTCATTTTAAAAATATACTTCAATTATTTTGCTAATGTAAGCATATCATTGTCTAAGCTAAAAGCTAAAATTTTAACACTCTATTCTACTCCATTAGTATTACATACCTTGGGTGCATTTAGCCAAGAATCTGTGTGTGAGCTGCACCTTTTCAGAACCACTTCAATTATGCGTAGTCGACTTTCCGAGCTGAACGAGCCCCAAGAGCTGCCCACGCCACAGATTTTCATTTTCAATGTTCAATAACTTAATTAAAGCTTCAATTTGCATGCAAATTGTAAATTGCAAATATATCTTTGTATACGCAATTTTGATAAATCGATGCGATAATAACCGAAGCAATTAAATAAATAGAGGATAGCCAAAAGGCAGGCGAGCAAACGTTTAATAACCACGCAATTAACTGGTTGACTTATAAGTGCTTCCATTATAACGAAGAACAAATAATTGGCGTTGATTAAAGCAACAGTTAATTGACATTTAAGGCGATTCATTACTTAACTAACTCTAAAAAGAAGTAAAAAAGAAAAAACATACAACAATAAATAAATAAAATATAAGAGAAGCAGAGATATGCGAGTTAATAACGTCTGCGGGGGCTGCTTTTTTCGTAGTCGAATTTGGGCACAACGCTGTCTTAAAATACCAAATCGAATCGGAGCCAAAAAAAGCATTTGCTAATTGCATCGACTGCATGCAGCAGCACCAGCAGCAGCTTTTCGTGGAAATTCAGTTTTCACATGCTCGACTTTGGTTTTGTACCAAAAATTTACATACGTATTCAAATGTGTTGATGTCTATATGCCTGTGTGTGTGTGTGTGTGTGCGGCGCCACAATTCTCAGGCTCGAATGGACATTGGGGCACTTGTTTTTAGCGGCAATTAATGTTAGTTGCAAACGGGCTGCATAAATCAGCCTAATTGCTATATTTAAATTCTAAATTTGGTTAAGTTTTTCTTCTACTTTTTTTTGCTGGTTGTTTGTGCACGACATTAGCTTCCATGTTTTTCTTGACATGTAATATATGCATAGGTTTAGTTCTGCTGGCAGGCAACAGGTGGTCCGATATCAATTTGCATTTTCTGCATTTTATGTTTATTAAATTGTTTCTCTGAGTGCATAGAATACCAGTTTGAAATTGCGCGCGCTTTTTTGACGATAGTCTGTTATTGTTAACAGTGCTGTAAAGCGTGCCTGTCTGAGCCGCCACAATTCGAGCAGGTTTGCAGCAACGGTATGTTAACTTTCTCTGAATAAAATAAAATACAATTATGAGCTAAATAAAAATGATGAAATTTATTGATAATAAAATTCAGCTTTGTAGATTATTAATCTTGTGTTTACATATGCTATTTATTTTCCTATATTTGTGTCTTGTAGAGCTGCATACATGCCTTAAGCTTATCGATAAGTCGATGACTTGTACCTATCGCTCATAAACCGGCTAGCAATTTCTGCAAAAGAATTTTGTTTACATTTAACAAAGATGTCATTATCGCCAGACAATTGCGATACTTTAATGCAAAATGATGTGATTGACGTAAATGATGAGATTGCGGACAATTCAACTGGAAATGAAACAGAGAAACGTCCCTCAACAGTTAAAACAGCGCAAGACGCAGTTTACGATGCGGACAGCGAAATGGTAGAATCAGCCGAAGAGGAAGACGATAAAGCGCCTAAGCAAGAGCCGTGCTCAGATGATGATAGATCCACAGTGATTGCACCAATCAGCCGTCCGCCAACCGAACCGCTCTCCAGGCACAACTTAAAATGGAATCTGCGCGTCATCATCTCAAATTTGTATATGAAGAGCGAACGGCGATTGCCGAGCGCTTGTGTGCCCAAATGCCTGCACAATACGACCCAATGCGTCAGTCGGCATCGCTGTGCCATGCTGCCCGATGCACCCGATATTAGTATAGCTCAAGAGCTGCGCAATAATCTCTACAGGCAACACTATGATACATATTTGGATATATTGGAAACGATGGCGCTGCAGTCAGTTTATCCAGACGAAGCGGTCTTTGATCGACTCATCGATATGATTATGGTATGTCAATTCTCCAGAGAGTTTCCTTATGTTAATTCTCTTTACTTTTAGATACTCAACACAAAGAGCTTGACCCTCGAAGAGCTGCATAGCAGATATAGAAATGTCATACGGATCTATTATTTGCTAGTGGATGCATTTCCTCCCTGCTGGACCGCATTGCGTCCATATTATCTAAATTTCCTGGGAGCTACGAACGACAATCCACAAAAGCTGCAGCTGCTATTGGATTTATTTGAAGATTGCCTGGGCAAATGTAGCGAAACAGAACTGCGTGAGCTAACGCCCTACTACGAGCAATTCGTTCATGATTATGAGGCTGAGGACAGTTCAAAATTAAGCTCTGATGACATGTTTCAGAGGCATGTCCAGGACTACGACTGGCAGAGCGGCAAGCAGTGGGTGGACGAGTTTAAGGCCATGTCGCCAGCTGTGCAGCTGGCACGTCTCTGCGATGCCTTGGATATGATTTGCTGGGTATTGGAACGCGAATTCTTAGCCTGGCTGGACCATAATCGTTTGCAGCAATCGGAGCCCGAGATCTTTCAAGAGGACTCCAAGCCGTTTGTGCTCATCGTCTTTGGCATAGAGAAGGACAAGAGATTAACGAAGTTAACCCAACAGTTGCTGCGTGTGTATAGTCGTGCAGCAGCTAAGTCCTTGTATGCAGATCGTTTAAGCATCCTCGAGGTAGGTGTGCTATATATATTATATTCACATAAAAACACATTTACTAAAGCTCTAATATCATTTCATTATTACAGCGCTTTATCTCACTGCTCATGGAGGCAAGCAACACAGCGGAGCTTGAGTATGCCAACAACTCGTTAATATATCCCAATTTGGGTCCTCATACACGCCGCCTTATTGCGGAGTTCTTTAAAATATTCAAAGTCGAAAATCCCTCGGATCTCACCACTTATATACGCACCATCTCGCAGCTGAGTCAGCCCTATGTGCGTTGGGAATTCGCGGATAATTTTCTGAGATTGTTCTACTATTCCGATGCAGCATTTGGGCCGGAAAAAGTGTGCGAGGAGCTGAAGCTAAAGCGTTGGCTCAAGTACAGGCCACGCAGCGCCATCGATGAGGCAGACAACGAACAGCTCTCTAGAGAGGATTACTTTAAGATCATGCTCAATGCGCTGCAGGATTATTGCAACTGGTTTGATTTGCAAGCCTGTTGGAAGTACATAAAAACCAAAACACCTGTCCAGCAGCTGCAGGCGAGAACAAGTAGTCCGCTGGCTACGCCTGCGGGTCTGGTTACCGAAGATGTTGGCAAAATCTTTATGCTCGATGAGATGCAGAAGGAAGCGCACACTTGGAAGCAGCGCATCAATGCAAAAGTGATTTTGGCCAGGCCCAAAGTGAATCTCCCTGTGGCTAAGATCAGCATAGGCACCATGGCTGAGCGTTATGGAAGCGATATACGACAATTGCGATATCTACGACGTATTCTGCTGGAAGTAATGCGTTTTGAGGATGTCACAGATTGGCTGAACTATGTTAACGATTTTCTGGGCGAAGATGAGCCAGCCGTTTCGTCTTAATGCCACAGAAGAATCTGGGCACAAATTCAAGTGATAGCTGTAAACTAAAGGTATTTGGTAAATCCACTATAATAAGTCAAAGAAGTGGATTTAATATAAATTTTTATACAAAGACATATTAAAAAAATAAAAATAAAAAAAAGTATGAAAAGTTTGTGAAGAACATAAAATATAATTTATTTACATTTCTAAAAAACATCAGCAAACTATTAACATAAGCAGAAATCTAACTTTATAGCGTAACGTAATGAATGGTTTGTTAAAATGCCTTCAAAATTCAAACGAACTACAAGCGCCAAAGTCGTAAACGCAGTGAAGGGAACGTAAGCGCAAATTTGCGCAACATGCGCAAAAGCTCCACTGCTTAACAGAGAAGGCAGTCATTTAACAGAGTAACTCCAATGCAGGATATTATCCTGCGGACGGAGAAAAAAATACTTTTAGTTGATTTTAGCAGCACAACCCCGTCGCCAGCAGCAGCAGGAGCAGCCAATGCTTGCGGTAGCGACAAATACGCAAAATTAAACATTGTGTTATTCTAAAAAAAAAAAAATAAATAAATAAAAACTACAAATCGAGTGTAATATCAAAATTCTGCGTAAAACAGCAACAGCAAATCAACAACAACAACAGCAAGAAAATGTGCGGTGTGTGTGTGTAACAGCAACAGCAATAACAACAACGAACCGTTGTGAGCACAGTGGTTAAAGAAATAAGAAAAACATAAAGAAGAAGACGCAAAGGGGCAACAACAGCAGCAAAGCCAAAGAAAGCGCAATCAAAATGTCGACAACAGTGGAACAGGTGAGTAAAAAGCAGACGCAACGTAACTTGAGTAGATTTATGTAATTTTGTATTTTCTTTGTATTTCGTTTTGTTATTTTCTTTTGTGTGCGGAGAGTCAATCAGTCAGTGCGGCAATGTTACGGTATTTTTAACGGTAGCCATTGCCGACAACTGCGTAACATTCAGTGTCAGTGCCGACTAGTTGTCTGTCTGTCGCTCTGTCTTTCTGTCTCTCTGTCTGGCTGGCTAGCTCTTTGTCTGTGCGTGTGTGTGTGTGTGCGTGTGTAGGTGTAACCAACTTACGCGCTCTCTCTCTCTTTATGATTCTCTTTCTGTGTGCGAACGTGCATTTGTGTGTGTTTGCGTATTGGCATGCGGCTGACTGTTTTGCATTGCCATGCCAACGGCGACGCTGGCACTTCCTGTTTGGCTGATATTGCCTCGATTTGACAGCGAAATTCGATTAATTTCTAATCTGTACATCAGCTCGGGCAAGTGCCACAGCCAGACTGAGACTCAGACTCAGACTTACTCGCTCACTTTCATACGTATTCAGCGACAAATATAAATAGCTGTCATTTTGTCAGCGAATTGAAATTCAAATACAATCCACGCACACATGCACACGCATACACACGCACACACTCAGTCCCACGCGCTAGACGCGACACTGCATGCAAATTCCGTTTGCATTTACAGTGAGGGCTCGCATATGAAGTCAAATACCTTTAGCCGGCTTAAACTTTTGCAGTTTCCAACTATTTGAGAAGTTTACTTTCCAAACAGTTTTTATACGCATTTTTAATAACGTGCGTGCATAAAAAGTTTTATGATATATCAAAAAATCCTTGCTCTGAGCTTGTTGTTGCTTAATATAGCTTTTGTTTTATGACTCAGTGCGGATGTGTTTATATGTATATATTTTATGGCAAAGTACACTTAAAATTTATGTTTTTATTTACTATTAAAGGATATACCCCTAAAATTGGACTTAAATGAGGCTTTTAACTGGAAAATGGGGATTTGTGCTTAAGAATAGACTAGAATATTTTTTTAAACAAATTTAAGCCATAGATTTAATTTGTATGCATTCTATGACTTAATCCAATTTACACTGACTTCAATTCAACTCTTATTAAAAAGACGTGAAATGCTTGTTTTGCTAAATTTATAATGCTAAAAGTCTCTTAACATACATCTGCTCTCTCAACAATTGTTCTCTCAATGATGACCTCACTGTACTTTGAATCAATCGTGCATTTGCTTGTCTGCGATTTGACATTTACAGCAGCCCGTCTAGCTGGCCCCATTTGACATCCCCCAGCAGCCCCCAACCGACGCATACCCTATTTCCATATTTCAGTTTAATAAAAAGGTATTCACGACACAAGTTTTCACTTTGCGTGGCTTTAATTCTCTAATTGTATCTTAATTTTATGTAAATGTTGTCCCAGCTTCAACTGGCAGTTGGCTTATGTGGCATATTCCTTTTCTTCTTCTGCTTCTTCTTCGTCTTCTTGTTCTTTTTCGCTTTTATGTGTCGCGTAAGATTCTTGCCTTGAAAGTCAGAGAAAAACTTTTGTTGCATATTTCTGGCGCGCATGTAGCGCGAGTCATTACGTTTTATAGACTTTATAAGAACTTCGCTGATGCAGTTTGGTCAAAAGTTTTTGCTGAGCTGCGTCGCGCTGCCAGGTGACTGCTCCTATATATAATAAATATATATATATATGTGTATATATATATGTCTGTATATGTATATATATGTAACTGATGAGCTTAACGAACGGAACGCAACTTCCTCTTTCGACATTAAAGTTGAGCGAAAAGAACAACATTTTGAAGCGTTTATGGCCAACGCTGTCTTAGCCTGGCTTTTAATATCATTTTGGTTCGCTTTGCTTTGGCTTGAGTCTGGTCAAACAGAAAAACAGGCTGGGAAATAAATTCCCTCATCTCCCATCTCATCCCATTAAATTACTTATATTGCTTACCACATGGCTAATCTAATAAGCAAACGAACGTCTCTCACATTTTGTTTAAGATTTAGTTCTCATTTAATTATCTAATTGGTTAAGTTTTTTATTTAAATAGAATTTAACTCAGCTTTAGCAGCAGCTTAACATGCCTTTTGTAAATGTTTCTTGTGAGTGAAAAGTTTTGAGATTTAGTTAAAATTTATTTAAATGTTCAGTCAGTGAGTTCAGCTGAAAAGTATGCTATACTTTTTTTGCTACAATGAAACCTGGAAAACTCGTTTAATTTGCATATCCCTTTTGTATATGCTGGATGGGTTTGATTTAAAATGAATATTTAATTCTGTGGAGTATTTTGGTGAAATGAATATATATATGTATATGTATATATTGTATATCATATCTATGGTTGTTCTGGGTGATCAGAAGCTCTGTCATCCATAGGCTTCAAGGATAGTTGAGCTCTTTAGAGAAACAAATCTTATTGAACTATATAAAAGCTGTTATTAAAATACAACTATTTTTTTATTTAGAGTTATGTTGTATAGAAAAACCATGCTTCATATTTGTATATAACATTGAATGAATTTATACAAGGATCTAGTTTTTTGTCTTTTACTGTATGATATATTTACTAACATTTTGAAGTTCAAACAACTTTACATCAATATTAAACTAAAATTTGATCAAAGCTGGCAATATATATCTATATATATACATATATACATTATTAATATAAAGAACTACTCTTATTACTGCTTACTTTTGAAAGATTTCCCTTAGCTTACTCATTCGCTTGGTCTTCCATATTCCCTCTCTACATGCACCTATAATTAAGTCTTTATCTTATCAATATCCAACCACCTTATACCCTTAACAATATATACTTATTTATATATAGCTTTTCCAATGAAATTTATTGCTTGCTTGCATGATTAACTAAGAAAATAATTGGAATGCCTATGAATTATGGACATCATGTTTTATGTATAGCATATAGCAAGCCGATTTGTAACGGTGCATGGGCTAACTAACGAAGCGCACACAGACAGACAAACACACGCACACACACAAGCACACTCAAGTGTCTTGTTGTTGTAGCTGTGGCTGTTACGTGCGAAGCTTCCTGCTTTTTGTGCAGCATTTTAGCTGGAGCATAAATTACAACTTCAGAGGTTAGCAACACTCACAAATACACACACACACCAAGCCGCACACACACACAACAGATGCGTATTTATGCTGTGGGTAGCTGCTTGGCTGTCAGTTTCGCCGGCTGCCACTGCTTACATAATGTTAATGATGCTGCCCGGGCCCGTCCGTCCAGTGCCGGGGCTCATTTCATGTTGTTTGCAAAAAACATAAAAAATAACACAAATACAAAAGTAAATGTCAAACAATATGCAGCTGCTGCGACACGTGACATGAGGCGTGGGCATGACCTGCGGATGTGCACAATGGACGCACTGCATCCTTTACTAAATTGTTTTCCCCTGTTGCTGTCGCCGATGTTGTTGTTGTTGCTGTTGTTGTTGCTGTTGTTGTTGTTGCATATTATTTCAATTTGGCGGCATAATAAAGTGCTTCCGTTGTGAGTCGCCTGGCAACGTGTATGCAACGCCTCAGCTGCAGCATCCCCAAGGATAATGCCATTCAAGCTTGGCTTCGTTATGCTTGTTTGTGCTGATGCACATGTGGGGCGTCATGGGACAGTGCTATGTACTCCTGCCTTGACACGCTCACACACACGCACACATACACACACAAATATACTCACACAGCTGCAAAGTTCATGGCCCCCGCTTTCAGCTCCGGCAATTGGCATTAAGTGACCGCCAAACGTGTCATTTGAGCTGCTCGAGCGGCGTCGCCTCTGCCCTGGCCAAGGTCAAATTTAACTGTTTTGATTTAATTTATTGTTGCATACATTTGAGCGCTCATAAAATGCCAAATACACAGACTAGCAGACACCTGCTCCAGCTCCCAGCTCGTTGCTTCTGCTTCCTTTCCCGTTTTCCTTTTCGTTTTTCTTTTCTTTTTTTTTCAGCGGCTAGCAAAGCCAATATTTTGCTTGTCTGCCTCTGTTTATCTTTGTCTTTGTCTCTGAGCGCGTGCATGTGTTTGTGTGTGTGAGTATTTTGATTGCTTTTGCTCACACTCTTAGCACAACACCCCATTATACACACACACGCACACAAATACAGTCATCCACACCCACACAGTCAAGAGGTGACTCAATGTCTTGCTCATTTCCTTCGAATGGACGAAACGAAACTATATTCAACATTTCTTTATGCCCGGCTGTCCGTATGTATGTGCCTATGTGTGTGTGTCTGTGTGGGTAAGATTCTTTGTGGCATAAATAGGGGCTTTCTGCTGCCATATCATATATACATACACATACATATACATTTATATATGTAGCCAACTTTAAATGACTTTCCTTTTGCCCATTCGTAAAAGGCTTGTAAATTGCTTTTACATTGGTTTCTTGTTAGCTTTATCTCATACCTTACCAAATATATTTCTTCTTCTACTTCTTTTTTTTTTTTTTTTGCCAACTTTATTTTGCCTTGAAAATTAACTGAAAAGTTTTATTTTTATAACCGTAGCAAAATCTGTGCTAAGCTGACAACTTTAAGAAACCTTTCAAAATGGCTTCCAATCAATATTTTTGTTTTACACAGAGCTAAATATAAACTAGAGAGCTTTTATTAAAACTCTTGCTGCAGCTCTAGCAAATTTTTACTAGCTCACAGCTGAGTAAATAAGTTTTTATTTTTTATTTTAGCTTGCTATAATTAACTTGACTGTGAGGTGCAACTAATGGGGTAGCTTAGACTACTTAAAGCGCTTGCTTGTACTTAAATTAGTTAGAGCTAAGCATAGATTTCAGCCAACTTTTAGGCACAGTTTAAGTTAGTCAAAGAAGCTAGTATATTACAGAACTTAAAATTATTTTATGCATTAGTTTTTTTTTACAATTTTTACAGCGTATCCAATAGTCGTGTTTGCATGCCACTTAAAGCTTTATCTCATTTG